ACAGATACATGCGTCAACTGCATCTGTAATGTGTTGAACCTGTTTGTGCAAGAGCACAGTTGTACGCCTGGAGATATTTTGCATTGTCTCTGATGACATGTAGGTTCAACTACAGGGATGGTCCATGGGCTGAGGATCATCTTGGGATTGAAAGCTCTTGGCCTCCTTCTGGTGTCTCCAGCTGAGGCGAGTATCTTGAACCCGCAACAAGTTTATTTGGCAGAATTTTCCTTATTGCATCAACATGGCATCTTCGAAGGCACAGGCTCCAGCACTTCCGAGCTCATCCATCGTCCTTTACACTCCATAGCGCTTCACCGGCTGGCTATTCCTGCCATTTGTTTCTCAGGGTTTAGGTGTTCAAACTTAGTTGCAATTTACTCCCAAAACCAAACAATCCTACGCCTAAATAAATGCTGCGCTCATGGCGCTCGCAGCATTCCTTGAATCATGCCTAGCCCGGCAGACCTTTCAGGGAGAGATCCGTGGCGGCATAATGCTGGCACGAGGCCTGGCTCGCAACAGCGCCACCCACTTTTTTCAATCAATGAGGCATGAGGCAGGCAGAGAATTGTACCCACTTCTGAACCTGGGGTGATCATGCTTTCCCGATGATTTGTTTGGTGTCAGTGTTTACAGTAGGGATGCTGTGGATAATCTCAAAGAATTTGTGAAAATGAATTTGTGAAAAAGCCTAAACTAGGCCTGTTGTGGCTTGATCACATTCTTTGAGGTCAAAGAAGGTGCTACTCGTTTAGAGCCAGGTCTAGTGTTGTTTGAAGAAGTAAGAGGCTCCATGGTCAAAGTGGTTTCTTCACTGCCAAATTCTCCTGAATCCAGGGATGGAAGAAACTCCCAGATGTGCTGTGTAATTACATGTAGTTCGGGATAGTGATGCCGCTTGACCAGCTCAATGCAAGTACCAACATTGCTCGTTTCAGCTCTTTGCCATGCTGACGAGGGCTCTCGACCATCTCGACTGTTGCAAATGCAACAAACAAATCAGTTTCAGTCTTTGCCTGAAGAGGTCCTTAAAACGGGGAAACAAAAGACGGTGTTTGTTTGTAGTTTGAGTCCCTTTAACAAAGGGGTCTTTACCTTCTTTTGTTTCCACTCTTTTGAAGGACCTTACTTGTTGCATGAAGATGATTTGTAGCATTGTAGCAGCCATGTAGTGCCATGCGGCCTGATCTTGCGCCCAGCATTTGTTCAGGAAGTGAAAAATCCACTTTAGCTATGCGGCAGTTGTGGTCTTCGCACCCAGTGCAGTGAAGTTGTCTCATCATCATTGCAGTGTGTAAATAGCAGGCTCGTCTTGTGCATGAGAAATCTGGATGCTAGCTGAGCTTGGACCTGTGACAGTCAACCAGTTTGCATAGTACATTAGTACACATAGCTTGAAGATGTGTCTTGACCTGCATTGGACTTGGCTTTTGCCAAACACTCTTAGGCTTCGCATCAGTCGACTCTTAGCCGCAGGTTGGGGACTCAATAAGAACGCGCTATAAACCATGAACCATCAGAATTGCATCGCTGCATCGTGGTTTAGGCATTCTAGCCCGACCAAACAGGACCCAACACATGAAATTGGTAAACCAGTGGTGAAGCAGAGGACTTGTGGATGCAGAAGCTAGTACTGGTAGGCCTGCCTGCAGCAGACGTGCTGGAGGAACAGAAATCATGCAGTCAAAGACACTAATCAATACAAATCCAGCACCAAGGTTGGCTTTGCACACCTTTTGTTTGTGGCCAGCCGGTAATTCAACAAAAAGATCAAAGGCCACCGGCCACCTACTTTTCCCATCTTTGCAAATGTGGCACTTTTGAAGCACCTCCATTGTTCCTTGCCGCTATCGTGAGCTCTTTGGCAGGCTCCCTCCCCTGGGCCCACATCCCGACCGCCGCCCAGGCCATGATTTGAGCTTGGACCTCCTGCAGCACTTCATCGAATCCAGGCATAGACATGCACCTGGAACATCAAAGTATGGTATACAACTAAACTATATAACTATGGTATTGGTATCAAATGGAAGTTACTTGGTCCATCTTGGTCCCTTGGTCATTGCTACATTGTTTAAAAGGAATTCATGAAGCGAGCCGTGAAGAGTTGACAGGGATCACTTTCTGCCGGAAGACAGCCTAAAGCTGAGCTGCGTGGGGTTGCCCAAGGGGGATTTTCAGGGAGGCTAGGGATCTTGAACAATGAGAAAGGATCCTTATTACTGGGGCCCTTACCGGTTTGTCGTTCGAGCCTCCTATGATGCATTGGCGAAGGTTTCAAGGGGGCTTTCTATTTTTGCCATTTGCTTCGTTGGACACATAATATGGTCAATGGATGCCAATGGAACCTTGTGCAGTATCTAGGTTGACAAATCAACACTTGCATACATGTTCCTTACTGTTTGGCGGGATTGTCAAATTGTCACTGATGTGTAATTAAGTTTGCTGACAGGGGCTTTTGAAAATAACTGCGTGCTGTCTTTTGAGTCTTGAAAGTCTTCCACTTGGTGTATGATCTCTCATTTTCACTTCTGTTGATGTAATTATTGATAGCATAACACTGTTCTTGAGCCCTTCTCACTTTTCTAAAACCGAACAAGACAAAACATCTGGATTAATCTCCTGTCTTTACTATGTGCCTTCCTGAGAGGCGTTGCATATGCAAACTGTACGAAGAGGTTGATGGAAAGCTTGAATGATGATTTCCCTCGCGAGATCCTTTGACCAAAGAAGTCAATCGAGCTTAGCACTAACTAAAGAGGAGCGCAGGGAAGAAGAATGCCGACTTGACATGACTAATTATGCAAGATGTTTAGATTCGATCAAGGATGCCAGTCATCACAGCCCACGCCGAATGCAACTCACACCTGCCGAAACATGCACAGCGAAAGCGGAGTCTACTACAGTTACGTACTCTTGGAAAGATTGGAAAGAGGGCCATGTCATGGCCAGAAGGGGGGCTGATGACATAAGCCCACTGGTGCATAAATGCGTTTGATTGGTAGGAGAAGCACATAGAAGCAACGTATTTCTTGTGAGTGGCTGCCTTTTTGTTGGAGCCTTGGTTTAGAAAGCACCCTGACATGACCAGTGCCAAGCACGGGGATGAAAGACTCTGAATTGCAGCTGGCTGAGGGATTTGCGGCAACACTCATACCAATAACCCGCTCGAATCACATCCAATTACTGCTGCCATGCTGATCTCATTGCTTGCCACTGCTGTGACCTCCGGGGCGGTGGGGTATTGGCTTGGGAGGCGCGGTGAGGGCTTGAGGCGTTTCCTTGTGGACGGCTTTTACTGGAGTGACTCTTTTTCATCTCTTCTTGAAACTAGCAGTCAAGGAGAGGATACAGATCGTATGGCATCGTATGGCTATGGCTTGCCTCTCAGTGCCATGAATAAACACCCAGCTGAAGGATGCTGAAGGGAGGTTCTCTATTCTTTCATTCTAGATGACAAACTCGTGAAACGGTGATGGCTGAGATATCCTGGCTGCAACGGTACTCACCCATAACCTGAATCACATTGTTTGATTCTCCATGGCAGATTTATTTGTATCCACCAAGCTTGTGGAGGGTTGGATAGGCGCACTGCACTGTGGCTTCTCGGGATTCAGTGGGACAGGCGGCGCAGAGACCCTGAGCCGGTGACAGTGGAGTCTTCCAAAGTGGAGCCGCAGGATGAACAGGCGTTGTGGATGCTGCGGTCCAAGGCAGTGCCTTTGGTGTGCATTATAACTATAACAACTTCTGTTCGTTGAAAGAAGGGAGTTGAGGCCAGACTAAGGTTGAGAAGAGCTGAATTGGTCAACTTTGCTGGATTCCATCACATCTAAGGAAGGTGATTCAGGCGAAGTGGTCCGTATGCGCTTTGTACATATCAACGATGTTTACATTATGGACAATTTGCCACTTGGAGATTGTCATTGACAATGCTTCGTCACGTTATCACGTCAGTATCGCTGTCGCGCACTATATATTTGGAGTGAGTTTCACTGCTTTGATCTTGATTGTCCTGTAATCAGGTATTTTATTGATATGTCACCTAGAAACTTCCAGATCCTTTCAAGAGTGGATATAAAGTCGTGGCATGGGCAGCTACTTTTTTTGGCTCCGGGGTAATGTTTTAGATCATAATTTGTCCGATCCTTTGGTGTGTGTGGGACGGGCATGGGTAATTTATGGGCACCGCAATTGTTACCAACTCTTGCCATTGTAACTCACTCACTGACGCATCTTACCCAAGTTATTTTGCTTTGAGCAGGGTACCGTATAGCTTATGAACCACAGGTGACATCTGCCTTGATGGCGCCAATTGTTTTTGGGTAACATTTTATTGTAGATGTCCCTTCTATGGTTTTGTTTGTTCTGTATTTCAACCACGGGGGGGCCCGGCCCGACAAGTCTGGGCCTTAGCAGCACTTGGACGAAACCATTACAGCTCTGGGCTTTGGAGTCTCAAGTCTTTCTGAAACCAAGGCCCAAACTGCGAAAACTTCTGGACGTTGCCTGGCTCAAATCGGTTCTGTGGCTACTTGAGCTACTACATGCTGGAAGGAATGATATGGAGTGTAATACAGTGTATTATTATAGTACAGCCAACCATTTACCCTTTGATGTAAATATAATTAGTTAGTTAATGTTAATTAAATTCCTGTGCACTTGCAACTTGGCATTGACATGAAATCATAGTATATCATAGTCAGATCATGACAGACCAACTATTGTTGGGTATCGAATCTTAATGTTTACTTCAACTATGAAGTGCTTCCCTGGAAACTGAGCCAAGAAGTAATTAGCAAGAAAACCCTGTCAGTTTGGAAGACCCGGTAATTCAAGATGGGGGTGCCTGTTCAGTACGACAAGGGCTTGTGTTCTACTGTTCCTGTGGCCAGCCTGAGGATTGTTCCTATGGGCTGAGACGAGAGAACCTCATCGTCAGCATTGGGGGTGACCTTTTATCACCCTATCCCTTGAGCACGTTGGACAAGGGTCGCGGCATGGTAGTGACCTGGCGGCAAAAAAGATGCGCGCATACTATATGATATTATATGAACCACTATTTCAACTATTTCCATGAAAAGATGCGCAGGGCACTGCCATGATGCTTTTTAGTTGGGTCGTTTGCTGATTCGGAGTCAAACTGGTACTCGTAACGTGGTCAACAATTAGGATATACTTTGTCACATTGTTGGTGTCATTATATATATTTGTTTTTCTGAGCCGTGAGTGGGGAATTTGTCTCATTCAATGTCGGCAGTGCATCTCCACAAGAAATCGTCAGAATCATGCACCTGAATGCTTCGATGATGCAGCATCTCCGAACGGAGTGAGGTTTTTTAGAATAGGGGTTTGCCCAATCCTGGTCCCTGGGTTAGTTTGCAGAATCACCTGTTAAGTTCACTCATTCTGAGTCAATGCTGCTGTTTACGACTGAGGACGTCATGCTTGAAAGTGGAGTCCAGTTTGTTGCTTGCCTAACCCAAGGAGTGGTGGAATCCTGTGGCAATGGTCAGAACACCCTAGCATCATCTAGCATCCATCACTAAACTCCACGGGTGATCCTTGCTGTTATGGGCACGTGACCAGCAAGCAAATAGTGAAAAATAATACAAATTATTGAAACACTATATTTCAGGATATATCAGGACTCCCAAAGCCAACTACCAAAGAGAGACGCGTTGGTTTGGTATGGAAGATGGGAACCCAGGCCGCGTAAGGCTTGGCCGCACACTCTTTTGGCCAATGCAAATCCAGAGAATAGTAAAGCTCATGTGGGGTCATAGATCGTCCGTATCTTGGAAGAGTAGGCAGCCTGGCCTTTCTCTGAACTCTGCTAACGTGTCGCAACCTCTCATTGCCCTTCACTCCCCGTTGCATTGTTGTATTGCAACATTTTGAGGTTGTCATTCAGCATAGAGCTCTCATGCGCTGGCCATTAACTGTCCACCCGGCCTTCTGGAATCTGGGGCCCACTAGGCTTCTTGTTACTACTAGTAAGGCACTTGTTACTAGTAGCGATGCACCTGTTTCTAATAGCTTCTTGTTACTACTAGTAAGGCACTTGTTACTGGCACCCGTTTGCAACCAAGCATTTTTTGGAGGCTGGCCCTCCGAGGCGTGCTTTGGAAACCATGAAGCAGACGTTGGCTTGCCAGCACTGAAGAAGCGCTTAGAGCGTTGGCATGAACGCGCCTCAGCCATCAAAGGATAACTCAGATTATTTGTTGGATCATTCCGCATTTGGAGGTAGCAAGCAGAAGCCGTCTCAACATTTTGCATTGTAACAAATTTTGATGACTACAGGTTTAGAAGGAATTGACGCAATCTCCAGGGGTCGAAGAAGAAGTCAAAGCCCGCGTCACTTTCATATGCTGCGGATAACTATAAGTACATAATCATATATATATAATATACACATATGTGTGTATGTATGATACATTATGTATGATCATCTATGCAAATATAAATATTGAGGTGTTCATGTGTTTCCTGGCTCCACTGGAACTGAGGTGGCGGGGTTTGGATCAACACCAACATGCCCGATCTCCTTCCAGAGTTTCTCAAATGAGCAAAGAGTGCAGTTCTGTGCCGGTGACGATGTGGATTGCAAAACCTTGCTGAGTCTCCTACATGGCATGGTAGGATATGACCTAAACTGCTTTGAGCGAATACACCTGAATCTGTGACATTTCTATCGTCAGGGGAGTCATCGAAGCAGTTTTAATCTTCCTGGTTCAGGTTCGAAGGTCAGTCAGAGTTATCTTTTTTGTCGGGGTAGTCTTAGTGGACAGGTAGCCGGGGTAGACACCTAAAAGACCAGGCATGTTGTCAGAATCGATAAGCCTTTGATATATACATATAGTTATATAATTGATGCATTGACTGTTGACTTCTACATTTCCGCTTCAAATGGATGCACCTTGATTGGCAGAGGCTCCAGCTTCCAAGCTATGCAAGTGTCGTTGGCCTCTCCAAGGCATGGGACAGTTTTCGCTGAACATCTCAAAACATGTTTCTTTGCATTTACCATTTACCATTCCACAATATGTTTTCTTTGCTCCAGGCGATCCCACACTGGCTTTGATCATTGTCCCACCGTGGTATTTTAGCACATGTTTCGGCATTTTTGGGGTGTAATTGCAACTTTCAGCAGAATGATGTTTGTATTGCAACCACCCCATCCCCTCCCACCCATCTAACAAACCCTTCTCACCTAACAAACATACACGATCCACTACAGCTGGCATTTTGGAAGTACTGCAATACGCAAATAGGTGTTTTGTCATGGAGGTTCTCATCGTCTCTATCCTTATACATGATGCTAGCAAAAACTAACGATGAAGTGGTAGCTGGTACCTGCTTCGTGTTGCAGGTCATGTCCTACTTAGGGAAGCACCCAAATTAATGTATCAAGTGCAAAACCACAAACATAGAATAGCCATAGAGCAGTGCCACATTCCAGTTTGTGATTCCCCGGAGCAATCGATCATTTGCATATGCACTTGGTTAGGGAGCACTACTGTATCTCCTTGCTCGTTTCAGCCAGGATGGGCATAACTCCAGACAAGTTTGCCTAGTTGGAGTTTGCACCAAAGATCCCAGCCTTTACAATGCTGCCCGGTTGCAAAGTGCCGATGCGAATGCCCCTCAGGTGCTGAACATGGGAAATTACCGCTGAGATCACCGAAAGCCAAGCCATCGGTTGAGAAAGTTAAGCATTTGCCGCTGGATCACTGTTTGCTCATGCGTTAGGAATAAAGGTCCCAGGCAAGTCACCAAGTCGCTGAAAGGGAACTACAAACAGCAATTAATGTGCATCCAAACAGATGGGCCTACGATAGCACAAAAGGATTATCAACATCCGCAGCTTCCGACCACTACCAACACCCAAGTTTCCCGAAGTTTTTGCTAACACAGGGGAATTCCGAAACCAGGATCAGAACATCTATATAATAATATCTCAGACACTTAGCTCACTCCAGTAGTCAACCTTTGACTTGGTCTCTCCATAAATCCTCTAATGGTCTGACTGCCAGCAGCTTGAGTTGCAAAGTGTGCCATAGCGTGCAAACATGCCTGGACTCAACCAACCTGATTTCAGCTCTTGGTGTTAATGGATGAAGCGACCCACTGCCCGAGGCGCCGGATGACTTTGGCGGTGCTGTTTACACAGCCTTGGACTGCAACGAGGCAGCGCTCCAGAAATCTCAAACCTTGACGCTTGGCGGTTGGGGCTCGATGAGCGGTTGAGGGTGGGTGATTCACCTTGTCCCAGACAAAAACATGAAATTTGAAGGGATGATTCCCGAGATGACCATCTTGCTGCATTTCGTTGGTGCGCCTTTTTAAAGTGTTGACTGTTGACCTTGGTAAATGAACCAAAGTCGCCTAAACGTTTAGGGGATCGGTGAACGTGCGCAATATGCCAAGGCTTCTGTGAACATGCCACCGTGGTGTTGACACCCAAAGCGAAGTGCTTTGAATGTGCGGATTTTGAAGTGGCAATGTCCAATAGAATGGACTTGATCTTCAATGTATATTCAGCCATGATATTGTAGTATTGTTTGGAGTCCAGAGTTGAACCCCTGGACTTGCATTCGATTCATTCGATCTTCCAGATGGTTGAACACCTCTACGCCAATATGGAGGTGGGACACCATTGGTTTGGGGCAAGATCCTTTCCATTAGAAGACTTGTTTTAAGCATGTGGGATTGACCAGGCTGCGACATTGTTCCATGGCCCTTGGAGTACAAACGTGCGCATCGCTACTAGGAGCAAGGCCGCTACTAGGGGCTCCTGGCCTTACTAAACTAGGAACAAGAATGCTACTAGGACTAGGAACAAAGGGCATCACTACTACGAGCAAATCCCTACGGTTTCGCGACCATTGGTGCTGGAGGATGGAAGCACACGTGGAGGACACCGAGGCCCAGAAGGTTGATGCGGTCGTAGTGCCTTGGCTGAACTTTGGTCTTTATTTGCCACACCCTCACTTGGAGGTAGAGAAGAGGATGGAAACTGATAGTATGTGAACAAAAACAAGAGGATCTCAATGTTTCATGCACTGTTATCCATTTCCATTGCATTTTTGTGGGTTCATTGTGAGTTTATGCATTGGACTTATGTTTCCCGATGCTAGGTTTCGAAACCTAAGACTTTACATAAAGAAGACTTACAGTACTGTAAATTGCTGCACAGTTTAGAGTGGCGCTCCTTAATGCACCAATACTACTGTACAGTGGGTTGATAGGCGATAGGAAACTTGACAGGAATTTGTGTTGATTTAAAATATATGATATGATATGAACCACAAGACTACCATTCTATCGGACTCTTGTGTGAGGATCTTTCAGAAAACCATATGTGCAGCCCGAGCAAGGCCCACCCTTTGCATTTGCAATGACAATGTTGGTCTCCTAGTTCTGCAATGATAAAACGCCTGGCTTTATCCAGCCCGATTATATACCAGAGACTCTTTTGCCGCTCAAAAGGGTTTGTCCATTCGTAACAGGTGTTTTCAACAAACATTGAACACATTGACACACTGGATTGTATCCCAGCAAAGGAAGAGCATAGTCATGCAGCAAGGCTAGTGTCTTTGATATCATCGTTTGTACCTTTCTTTAATGCTTTGCATGCAGTCTGTGGCTCCCCCTCTGAGCAGTCTCAAGTCCAGTGAAGTTGGTCGAATGTCATTTTGATGAAGCTAGCCACTTTGGCAGTTGGAGTGCAGCATATCCGACTTCAAACCGTCATGGCATGCACGGACGATGTGATAATCCCAGAAGACAGTATACCTACTAGTATACCTATATAGTATCATTCTTGAGTTGTGTGCTATTGTACTAGAAAAAACACATTTGCCCAAGTCACGAGACGAGTGGTTCTTTGGCTTTCCAGTGTCCCCTTTAAACTTTAGACCTGACTTCGGTGGAGCCCACGGTATGGCCATCGTTTTGTGAATTGGCTAGCTTGGCCGGGTCCTCTCTATTGAGGCTTTGACACATCAAGATCTGGAGGTGGACATTGAGCTGCTTGGCCCGAAGCTTGATGGGGCATCCAAGTCACTTGGGTTCTTTGGATTGGTTGCGATTTGCATCCTTTTGGTATACCCGTGAAGAATCACAACCAGACACCAACCACATATGTCATATGCACCACAGCATTCCAAACATGGCTGCTTTGGAAGCACACACTCTGGAAAAAACCGGAGTCGTGCACCTAGATCACCCCACTCTTGCTGGGATGTGAGACGAGAATTATATGTATAATGCAGTTCTACTCCACCTCCTTTCTGAGACTGACCCAGGATCCTCCTTGGAGTACAAAGGGCAAATCACTGGCTACTCACTCACGCAATCAAAGCAGGTTGCCTTGTGACCTGTGAAGGGTTTTGGCATGCCTGGCATCACTCCAGGCTTGCCAAGAAGGCGACTGCGGCGGGGATCTATGCTGCCGCAAGCCTGAAAACGCTTGATGGAGGTTGAAAGAAGGGGGGCCATTCATTTACTTTATTGTGCTGGGCAGTGACGCTAGATTCGGAAGTTGTTTTCCGAACCGTGATATACGGATATACGTTTGTGTAGTTTACCATTTGGCAACCATTGGTAGATAAATCAAAGTTCGGTAGATCCTGTAGTATACCCTTGGCTCCTTTCGTGGAAATAGCTTATACCCCAAGAGAAGACTTGCAATATATAGTAATTATGTACCAGCTATTGCATATCCAATGATGTATGTTTTGTATACCAGCAAGCAAACACGTTCCTCCGTCCTCTTCCGTTGAGGTCCTTGGAGGACATGACCACACTGAGTATGCAATGAGCCACAATGGATGTGCCTTGCTGAAAGCTGGCACCTTGGAAGCGACACACACACACACACACTTCATGGTGTGTTTTCTTGCTCTAGTTGTTTTGCTTGCTCTTTACGTGCTGACTCAAATAGAGAAACGAAAGTAGAACTGACAAATGTATCATTTCTGCGCATGAAAGGACTCCAGTCCCAGTTCTGTGTATGAAAGGACTCCAGTCCCTCAATGAACAAGACGAACAACCACACTCCTCCCGATATAAAGCAGCTTTTCACAGCTGGGTGACTTGCTGACTTGCGCCAGCTGACTTGCGCCATATGATCAACAAAAAGGGCAGAGGATTGAACTCACTTCTGATTCTGCATGGCGCACATTGAGGTATGGATGCGAAGAATGCTGCTGTCATGGACCTGTTTTGGAACACTGAGGAGAGATATCAAGATTCATTCTTTTTGGTTGTGGCCTTGAGACCAAATCAACATGCAACAGGGGGTGAGCGACAGCATGATGGAGAAACAGCACTCTGTGAACATCTCTCAAGACAAGTGAACAACTTCTGAACTACAGTGTTGTTCTGTTTGTGGGAGCAAGCTCAAAGGATATTTCGCTACTTAAGTGTTATGGCAAAACCGAAGACGTAAAACTGTGCAAAAGAACTATGCCATTTGGGATATATATATATACTATTGAATGACCTGATTTGGAGTTACAATGTTGTCATTTTGAGGCTCTTGATTTGGATGGTAGACCGACAGTGGCATCTCATTGTGAGGACACGGTGCCTTGTGTCGACTCGTTCCAGCTGATCTCCTTGTCCAAGTTCACCAGCAGCAAAGCAGTCGCTTGGGCTGAAGAATCAAGAAGATATGTATACTGTATACTGTACTTATTTTATTCTCAAAAATGGTAGGAACCTGGTGCATGTCTCCTCTGAGTCTAGAGTATTTGGGAGGGTTGGGCTACTTCTCATGACGCCTGCAACGCGTGTCCCTATAGACGCGTTCGCACCGATACACTGATACAACTCATCTACTTCTCTGTGCAGTGTGAACCAAGATCATACATAATTTTCTGACGCTACTACAGTGGGATTTTAGTCCCAACTGGTCACTTCTGTTGTTTTGTTTCCTAGGTCTACAGGTCTGTGGAGAAGCACATGCGAAAGGTGTGGAAGATGGAGCGAGAAAAGGCACTGGTACATCTGACCGTCTTCCAGACCTTGATGTGCCTCAACCGAATCCTCAGAGTTGCACAAACACTTGCAGGACTTGGGATGAGCCAAGTGTCAGGAACCCTCAACAGTGCAGGATGTTTGCCTTTAACTGCTAGGCCTTTGCTTGAATTAAACCATCACTTCTCATGTTTGGAGCTCCTACCTGCAGCCCAATCTAAAATGCTGACGCCTTTTGTTTTGCTAAACGAAACGTAACATAGGTGAATATTATGCTGCAGAGTGGGGGTGCAGGGCCAGGTGCAGGGCCAGGGTTTGTCTTGTTACAACATCTATAATTAAACTATTATATATATATATGTGTATGTGATTCCTTCGGAACCACAAAGGTAGCACCAACAACCTACACCAACCTAAAGGGCTCCTACCCAAGTCCCTACCAAAAGCGTCCACGCTCCTTTGTCCTCAGCACCTCGAGTCCGGTCCTTGAGCCAATGATTTCATTGGCGAATGTCGATGGTCGATGTGATGCAATGCGATGTCACCTTTCATCTTGGATTCATGAGAAGGTCAGGTGGCTCTTGGTTCTTTGGCTTCAAATTCACACTCACTATATTTCTGTGTTCGAAATGAATCCTTTGACTCGGTTGCAAGGCTGCGAAAGCTCTCTGCCCAGCGTTCTCCATATTTACGGTTTGCATTTGTTTTGAGAGTATTAGTCTCGTCAAAAATGCGAAACCTGCCAAGTGCCAGCACCTTCCTAAGGAAACTTGCGTCCATAGGTTTTGTCAAACAGTCAGCCAGCATTATTGCTGTGGAAATCCATCGGCATTGAGCGTTTCCTTCAGCTTGTTCTTTTATCTGCATGACCTCTATAGTTGTCCTCCACTCTTGGCAGTTGGGAATAGCTAGCTTGGTGACTAAATCATACAATGACTTGCAGTCCGTCACTAACAAGGCTTTGGGTTGATTAGCAAGTGCTTTTTCCGGCTTTTGCCATTGAAAGTATGGATCATTCACACAACCCCACAAGCATCTTACCCATGTTAGCTTGTCTAGCGAACTGGACATGGCGTATGCCTCTGCACTCAAAGTTGATCTCACTACTCGAGCTATTTGTTTTGATCCCCAAGCCATGGGAGAAAACTCTGCTACCTCGTTTTGTCCTAGCTTCTTGGTGGTTGCCATGACAAAGAGGCCTTGTTGGGCCTTCAGTTGATGCTCTGAAGCAAAACTGGCATCTCCAAAACTTGCGAAAGTGACTTGTTCCACGGGGATCGGTTGTACTAGAATGGATGTTTCCATCGTGCTTTTGGCTTCTTTCAGGATTTTATTTCCTTCTAGCAAATCAGCCACTGTGGCCTTGGGAACCTTCTTCTGCAGAAATGCCACTTTGGCAGCTAAATCTGGTCTCGAATGCACTGCTGCGTATTGGAGGCTGCCACACAAAGCTCTCAATTGTTGAAGTTCATGTGGTGTCACCATGGAGTTTTCGTCTTTTCTCCTTGGTTTGGGTATGTCTATTGGGTCTATTCTTTGGATGTATTCTGCTTGACTTACCCTTATGGAGCTGTCGGGATTCTGCTCAATGTCCAGGCCAGTAAATCTAAATTTCTTGTATTCTTTTTGACCGAAAGGAAGATGTTTCTGGATCCTGACAAGTGCTCTCTCAAATTGTTCGGTTCCTCCTCCTATCCCATCATCAACATGGGTTCCCAATATTCCTTCTAATTTTTGTGGATCTTTGGGATTCCTCAACATGAACAGACATGCATCAAGGGGATGGGCTTGGAATCCTTCGGCTTCCAGCTGTTTGCGAAACTCCTTGTAAAACAGCAACGGTGCATCTACCCTCCCATATGCATTACCCTTTAGTAAGCATACCTCATTAGCTCTCAGGTTCAGCATCTTTTGTAGTTCAGGAACCGGCTGCATTGCTAACTGTCTTTCATCTGCTCGGCCACGAAGAAATGCAGTTTTAATATCAAAGCTTTGCAGGTTCCATCCTCGGCTACTCACTTCTTGAAGTATCACCATTCGCCCATCCCTGGACAATGTAGGGGATTCTGTACTGACTGTTGCTGCGTCAGGATCCTCAAATCCTCTCACTACAAGTCTTGCCTTGGCCTTTCGACCATTGGTTGATGATGGATCTGTTTTCCAGGTCAATATCCATCTTGATGACATGATGCGGCTTGGGTGTATCTTATCTCTCAGCAAGGGTTCTATCGATGATGTCTCTATCCAGCATCCTAATTCCTTCTTTTTTGCTTCATCAAATTCTTGTTTTTCAGATGGGCTCAAGTGTTTGTACACGACTTCAACATGGTTCTTTTTGGCTGCATTGACTATCTTTTCAACATGAAGGCATGGCTCTATGCAAAATGCGGACAAATGCCTTGTAGGAACATCGAACTCGAACATGCAAAAATCTGCATCGGCTTCTGGAATGTTTTCCTGGCACAGCCACAGTGCTCCATTGTCTTTCACTGTGACTGCGTTTGGATCATTAGCTTCTACAATGCTCTCATTGTATACCTCGGTCACTACTGTAAAAGAATCCCCTGTTGATTCAATTACTCCCCTTTCTTCTCCTTCTTGATTTTCCCCTCCAAGAAGATTCCCCTGGTTTTCATCGGACTCATTTTGTGGATCATTCACTGATGGTTCATTCGAAACGGGTGCTTCATTGGTTGGCTCATTCACTTGGGGTGTCTCGATGGCTGGTGGTGTCACTTCGGCTTCTGATGCTCTGCGTAGAGGCTCTTCCTCTGGTTGCATTCCCTGCTCAGGATCGGCGGATTCAGGATTTTCAACTTCTGTCAAGTCGGAAAATTGGAACATTCCGCTTCTTTCCTTTAATTGACTCCTGAGTTGATTAGCCATTGCCTCCAACCGTTTCTCATCACAGCTCTGGTGAAATGATGCAACTTTGCTGAATTCCCTAATTGACACAGGTCGAATATTTTCTCTTGCAACCCTCAACAAGCGGTTCATGTATGTTACCCAAAGCACTGTCCGAGATTCTTCCATGATTACTTGACAGGGTCCGGTCCACCGTCCTTTCTCGAGCATGTTTGGGGACTTGCGTTTGTCCCAAACCATGCACAGCTCTCCACATTGCCATGAGTGCTCTTGTCCTCTTGACTGGCGATTAATGGCACGACGAATGGCCTGACTGTTGTCAGCTTCTAAAAGAGCTTTTCTAGCAAGAGTTCGGACTTCCATTTTCTGAAGGAAATCTTCTGATCTAGTGTCCCTAGGATCATCTATCGAATGTGCTGTAAAATCTTCATCTCCACAAATGGATGCAGGCAATCTACGTGATCTACCTAGGACTGCTTGTTCAGGACTGTAGCCCTTGACAATGGTCAGACTATTCTTGGCTTGGAAGCATTGGTTGAGCGCTTCGTCGAATTGCTTTTCATTCCGGATGGGTTTCTCTTGATCAACACGACTCAACATTTCTTTAATTACTCCTCCATGCCTTTCGATCCGACCTCGTTGCCATGGGGCTGCACTTACGATTGTACGGATTCCTTCTTTCTGCAAATAGTCTTTCCAGGCTTGGCTGATGAACTCTCCGGCTTCATCGTGTTGAATTTCTGAGGGGGTGCCTGCCCAATGCGTCCATGTCTCTTCAAATGTCTTTATCAAGCTTTCACTGGTTCGAAGGCATCTTCTCCCTAAATGAAAATGGCTGGCTTCGTCAAAGGAATGCAGAACATAAAACTTTTGACCCTTTTCCCCTTTCCATTCAAACCCATCCATGGCAATTCTCTCATTGAAATCTCGTGGTTCCTTTAACTTTCCAGGAGTGGTAAGTTTGGGTGGAACTCTTTCAGCACATGACTGGCATTGATAGTCTTTTGCACCTTCAACCATCCTTTCAGTGAATCCAAGTCTCTTTAAATGCTCTCCTAGCTTTTCTGACACAGGGTGTCCTAGGTTGTTGTGCATTTTCTTTATCATAGTCTGTTGCTTACTATTCAATTCCAGGAACTTGGGTCCAGAATTAATGGTTGCATTTGGTGTCCATGACGGGATTGGGGCCAAAGGTTCAGCCGAACTGGAAGATCTCTGACCTACCTCGGCTATCGGCATCTCTCCATTGCTGGCTTCACGAATTGAAGGAGGAATTCCTTCTCCCTGGCTTGACTGGCTTGGTGACATCGACTTGCGAACTGGTTCGATCATGGATTCAGACTTGGCTTGGCTTGCATCTGGGCTTTCAGGATTCCTACCGAAAATGGCAATCATAATATGGCTTGGGATGGCTTTTCTTCTTTGTTGTGTTTGAGGCATCTTGGTCCATTCATCAACCCCTAGATCCATGACCCTTTTGGTATTGCGGCACAAGCAAATTGTTTGTCGATGGGTGTGTCTATGATCTCCAAGCATGTATCTTTCAACTCCTTTAATTGCTTTGATTTCTTGGACATCTGCAATCTGGCTGTGTTCGCAAATGAATCTGCCTGGCCATGTCTGAAGATCGATGGTTTGTGCTCCGGACTTTGGCAAAATCATCTGAAGCTTTTCCATGACTTCAGTCCATGACTGTCCGGTCAGCTCTGTACTGGGTTCATATGGTTCAAGTCCTCGCTTCCGGCTCAAAGAGTCTTCCTCTGGACCCTTGATCCGTGTCCGCTTTGATCCAGGCTCACTCTCGGGTGGACTCTCGGCTTCACGAACTGGACACAAAAGTTCAATTGCATTGGATGCTTCGATCACTGGGCAATCTGGGTTTTGGTCTTCTTCAAGAATTCCTTTAGCTCCTTTCTTGGCTAACATTTGTGGGTAGAAAGCTGCGAATCTTGACAAGGCAATGATTTTCCCTTGAAAATGACATGTTCCAGCTATCTGATGATGCTTGTGTTCACCTGAACATCTCCTATCATCTAGGTTACGAACAATTGCTCGTGAGGTTGTCTGCAACCTAGTGGTTTTCCTAATCGGCTGGTGATTCTGTGGATGCCTTAGGCCTAATTGGCATTGATCGAACATGACCATCTTCGTTAAATGGATGATTTCTTGGATCTCTGCCTGCTTCCACATTCCTGAGGAGCCAGGATTCTCCATTGTGAAATGTCTGCCGTTTTCTACCTGAATCTTGCATAGGAATGTGCACAGTTTCAAATGCTCTTTGGACTGTTCCTGCATTGATTGGATGTTCTTGAAACTTCTAAGGCTTCTTCCGGCATTGAACCTATTCCACGAACACCAAGGTGCACATTCTGGAGCGACCCAAATGTGTTTGGGTCGATGTTTGCACACCATTCGAAGCAACTCCAACTGTCCATGAAATGTTGACAAGTCTCCATGCTCCCTAGTGAACCTTCTTGCCAACCCTCCATGCTTCATGGTTTCTTCGGCTAAACGGCTATTTGGTTGGGCATACACTTCAAGAAGATCAATTCCTGGGGATTCGTCCATGGTTTCAAGTTCTTTTCTCAAACTTCTCAACCAGCTCACTTCTGACCTATTGGAAACCTTCGTTGCTAAATTAATCACAGACCCTGGTGGAGATGTGCTTCCATCTGGCGGCGGACTTGACAATACTTGGCAAAGTCGAGGACTGGCATGCCTAGCGAATTGATACGGCTCAGGCACCAGTTCGCATACTGATCGTCTGTCTCGTAGATCTGGTAGTACATCTTTCCTGGGTGCTTCTTGCCCCAGGTGATGGTTTTGCGGCCCCATGATGTCATTGCATCTTGAGTCCAAGCCACGTCTCGGCCATGAGGTGCCGTGAATTCGCTCCCAGACACCTTCTCTTCCGGAATCCAAACTCCTCCGGGGGCCAGAATGGGTCCGCCGAGTGCGGGAGCTTCGATCTGTCGAGAGCGGGCACCACTCATTCCAGCTGGGGCGGCCTGACTTGGCTTCTTCCCTGAAGGTGGACTTGTCACTGATTGTGATGTCGTCACTCGGACTGGGCTCAATGCTCCTGAGGCTTGACCTTTCTCGTTCATCATCTGCAGTTCGTCTTCCCACAAATGGATTTCTCTCTCGGAGACTTCTGACCACTCCGAGTCCCGGTGGCCAGGAGAGGTTGGCTTTGTTCCGGGCATCTTCAAATTGGATGCGATCTGCTGCAGCATTGCTTTCTGACTTTGAACTTCTTGCATCAAATGCTGCATTTGCAATGCATGTTCGTTGGGCACCAGCTGCTCTCCTTGCTCTTCCACTTGTGTCTGCACCTGATTCATCAGGAGAGTCAGGAGGATCTTCAACAGCTGCATGACTGCATCTGCGGTCTCCCGAATCATCTCCATGATGTCCTTCCTGGTGGGCATGGCAACAAATCTGCTCAGGGCTTATCGACAATCTTTGATGCGGCAAGGGCTGACACAGACGAATTTTGACAAAGATCAGCAAGACTAATCATGAGTAATCCAGTTGTTCCTTGCTTCAATGAAATGGCTTTCCCTAACGTCTGCAGGTGGCATGTCCCTTGGGTCAAATCAAGCACAGCTCCAAGTTTCTTCAGCGTTTGGATTGACAACAGGAATGGTGTTCCTTTTGGGACGACTTCAATGATTAGCCAAATCTGTTGTGTCTGGTTTCGAATCGGAACCCATATCTGTTTATAGCTATACTCAATCTGGTTATTGCCAAAGCGAAAACCGATGCGGCTGGGCTTTTCCTTTATGCGGTCTCGAGTGTGTCGGTCTAACAAGCTCAACATCTGTGGAAGGTTCTCGCTTCCAATGACACTGCGACTTGCACCAGTATCAACAATGGCGTAGCCGTGCGTGTTGAAAGCCTCTCTGCCGGCTTTACTGGTGCAGCTTGGGTACAAACTGACTTGATCCGGCGGGATCTGGCTCTGCAATTCTCGCCTGGCAAAATGCACAGGATTCAACCTTGTTTTAAAAAACTCCTGCATCTTTATCTTTAGGTCCCCTGTTGGATCGAGTGAATTGCGTGCTAACTGAATTCCTACGAAGGCTTGTTCGAATCTGGAGTCATGGCAGGTGGGATCCATGTTCATGAATGTTTTGTCAATTCGAACCTCCATGTGATCGCTCATGTCCAGCTCCTCAATCACGACTTGGTCTGGACTGTCGCTCATCTCCTGGGTCACAATGTTCACCTGGTCTTTGGGTCGATTTGGGCATTCAGCCTTCCAGTGGCCCAGTTCTCCACATTTCTTGCAGTGGGTACGTGCAATCCTCTGAAGAAGTTCATCTTTCCCTTTTGATCCACCTTTGCGAAAGCCCTTGTAGTTGTTTCCAGCGAATCCGGATTTGTATCCCTTCCCTGACCCCTTTTGTCCTGCAGGCCAGAAACCTCTGTTCTTCTTGCGCTCGTTGATACGAGCTCTTGCCTCATGGTAGGATACTAATGCTGTATGAAGATCTGGGACTTCTTGCAGCAAATCCTCCAAGTCCTTCTCGAAGGCCTGAACGGCCAGGGCGTCTGCATCGCCCCAGGATGCCATGCTTTCAATAGTTTCTTGGTTCGCCTCTTCATCATCTTCATGGTTCATGGCATAGACCGGGTTGAAGTCCTTGCTGGAATCAACATCATCGGGCTCCGTGAAGTTGATGGGATACACTTTCTTCTTTTCCTGTCCGCCAGAGCAATTCAGCACATTCGTGGACAATGACCTCATTGCTCCCTCAATGGCTGTCGTCTCCATCACCCCGTTGGTCATGGTCAAAACCTTCTTTTTATCTTCATGAGAAAGGCAGCTTTGTTTCAAAAGAACAAAGGCCACAACCGACTTCAATGTTGTATCAGGGCCAACTTCATCAAATGCCACCATCAACCTATTGACGTAGCTCTGAGTGGATTCGTCAGGCCTCTGTGTCGTTTTGTAGATGGCTTTCTCAAAAAGTTCAAAGGTTTTCAGCTCTGCGGTTTCTTCCCAACTCTGAAGTGCAGCCAGGAAGTGTTTCACTCCGTTCGTGGGATCTGTAAGCAGCTCAGGTCGTAGGGCTCTCACCTGATGCCACGCCGTTCCCTTGCACATCATCGCCAGCTTGGGCGCCAACATAGGTCTATCCCTTTTTGGACAAATACCATCAATAAATTTCACCTTTGCGATATACTCTCGGGCATTGTCAACTGCTGGGTCGAATGATGGGAGCATACTCCAGATTCCAGAACTCTTTTCCTCTCCTGAGGATTCGGTAGCCATGGCTTACTCCTACGTCCTACGCGGAGGCCAACAAGCTCCGCTACCAATGTGATTCCTTCGGAACCACAAAGGTAGCACCAACAACCTACACCAACCTAAAGGGCTCCTACCCAAGTCCCTACCAAAAGCGTCCACGCTCCTTTGTCCTCAGCACCTCGAGTCCGGTCCTTGAGCCAATGATTTCATTGGCGAATGTCGATGGTCGATGTGATGCAATGCGATGTCACCTTTCATCTTGGATTCATGAGAAGGTCAGGTGGCTCTTGGTTCTTTGGCTTCAAATTCACATGTGTAGTTGTATGTTTTATTGTCGGCAGTTTTTAGTACTGAGCAATTGCTACTGAACAATTGCTACTGCAGGCGTCGTGTGCGCGTCAAGCCTCAGCCATCTCAGGTCTTCGAAGGACATTCGCAAGAAGCAGTTCCTGGGCAAAATATGACTCCACATGCCAGGTATCAAGGAGATTTGTTGGTTTTGGCTGATTTTCCAGCACAGAATACTCAGAATCTGCGGGACATTCATCTCGACCAAAGGGTGGTTTGATCTCGGCGCTTTGTTTCAGCGTCGGCGCAGCTGAGGACGACTTTGGGCTCTTTCCTTTGCAGTGCTTTGAGAGATGAGTTGGAGGTCGACTGCGTGCTCTTTGATGGCGGCAATATCCGAGGCAGGTGAGTTCAACCGAACTTGCACAACGACATAGCAAGTCAGAACAAGAAGCTACTAGGGGCTCCTGGCCTTACTACTAGGAGCAAGGACGCTACTAAGAGCTTGCTATGTCCATGCCAATCAATGTTCTAAGTTCTAAGTCACGACTCAGCATGACCCTGATTTCACAGCACTTGAAGATGTTTGGAAGAACAACATTTTCCAAATCTAACCGAGTTATTTGTGCAGTATAATACATTACAAATATATATATATATTGATATATTATACTTGTAGGATCACAAAAGACAATGAACGGCCATGGACCATGAGTGTGAAAGTTGCATTGAAAGATATTCATAGTCATAGTCTATATATCGCAGGGGACCGTGACTACGAGCCGAACCCGGAGCACTACCTGGGTTCCAAGTGGACCTTTACCTTGGCCGACTTGGAGCAGGAAGTGGGCCGACCACGCGGATTCAAAAACTGTTTTGAGTCTTGAGAGGTTCCTTGTTACTAGTAGCGTCCTTGCTCCTAATAGAAATGCCCTTTGCTCCTAGTAGCTTCCTAGTAGTAAGGCCAGGAGCTACTAGTAGCGTCCTTGCTCCTAGTAGCGATGCCGCGATGCCCTCCTTCATGGGAGAAAGACTGATTGCTTTTATTGTTTCCTTTCCTTTCCTCGCTTTCTTCGCAAGATGTATTTGTAGCAGCTTCTACACTTGATGCGATCAAGGTATCAGACGCTCCAGTGGTTTGGAGGGTCAATGAGGTACGTAGATGGTCAATAACTTAACGGATCCTGCCAGTCGCAAGCTTTAGTTTTGCCATGAAAGGCGCATTTGAAGACAAATCGGTATTGGAAGTCTTGGACTCTTGGGCCATCGCCATAAAAACTGGGGTGGTGCCTATACTGCAGCAGCTACGGGTTGGCGCCTGTGAATGGTTTGTTTAGATCAGCCTTCCAACCGAACAGGGCACAGCTGGTTTGATGGTAAAAGTCAGTGCATGCGAAGTTTTGGTTTCTTTTATTTACTTGACGGAAGGAAATCTAGAAACCAGAAACTTCAAAGAAACAGCCATGAGGTGAGCCTTAGATGAGCCTTAGGCTCAGGCATCCCACTCAAGCCTGGGCCTATGCGCATCCTACCAAAATCAACACACGGGTTTGTGGTAAATCAAAGTACGTCAGTCTTGCTCCAGTGCAGGTTGTGGCTCGGAATTTGCAATGACTTCATAGTAGTAGGTCCTGAGTAGGAGTAGGTGGCTCAAGTGCCGAGCCTAGTAAACAAACAGATCTCAATATCATCATCTCGATCATCTCATATCCCACGGTTCAGCTGGTATGTCTCCATCCCTTTGGGTGCCTTCCTTGTACAGTGCTGCAGGAGCTCCCGTGGTCTTCAGAGATGGTCATCATCGCTTGGAGCTGAGCTAAGGGAAGAAACTGCACCTTCTTCTAGTCTAAACACCACAGGAATGCACGCTTCTTTGGCATTTGCAATGGATCCCATATTCCTTTGGCATTTGGAGACTGGTGCACAAGTATGTCCTTCAATAGTATAGTCAAACAGTGTTGCACTCTATGACACCTGCGTCAGATTATCATTATCATTAACATCAGTATCCTTTGACAAACCACTTAGATTTGGGATGTTCAAGGGACTTCTGTTGACTTTGACAAGACAAGATATGATATATATATATATAGTATCCGAGACCAAGTAAGGCTGTTGAAGATCGTGTAGGAACCAAATGAAGAGTGCGAGCGCTTCTTCAAGGAAGCTCCCCCCGCCTGAGCTATCCTGCGTCCATGCTAGTAGCTGCTTAAGCTACTAGCTACCTAGCTAACCTACCTCACCTCTACGGCCTACCCCCCTTTAATGACATGGCGTTCTTCCAGGGACCAGCCGCACTGGTGTAGATTTGAGGACCGGAAGGCTTCTCACGAGCGGGTGGATTGGATGTTGACATATTGCCGTTGCAGCTTTGGAGGAACAAGAGGTGGACCCAGCAAAGTTTCCCACAAGAAGTATAGACCAATTTCCATGTGTTGTTTGTCTACTGTCCACCAATGTGAATTCACGTGAGAATCTGCTGGACTCTCACCCTACCAAGCTCTCACCTCACACTCAAGTGCTCGGCCCGAGGTCCTGCCGGGCAGTCAGCTCAGCCGGGCTGTCCAGGTGAGCCGGACTGTGAAGCTTGGCTCTGGTGGCTTTCTGCAGGCGGAGCGGACCACAGACACCATGTGGAACTGATTTCCGATTCACGTGAATTCATACATATGAATTCATTTGAATTGTTGTGCTGAGTGAAAGCATTCATCCACTCTGTTTGAACATATTCAAACCGACTACCCACTGTGTTCATGTAGAGAGTCTCAGCATGAAAAGAAACGGTCGGGTGGTCAACAATATTACAACAGAATACAACAGCTACTAGGGGCTCCTGGCATCGCTACTAGGAGCAAGGACGCTACTAGGGGCTCCTGGCCGTACTACTAGTAACAAGAAGCTACTAGTAACACAAAGCCATACGCAGCCCGTCAAGTCGTCCCTCGTGTACCTGCCAGACGGATGGCGGCATCCACGTGGATCCCACCACCTCAGAGGCACACTCGCTATTAGGTTGGAATTTAGAGCCCTTTGTGAGATTGGATCAGTTTCTGAAGAGCCAGCGAAGCATCTTGATAGATCAGGTGAGGTGTGTCGGGAACGAGACGCTGGACCCTTCAAGAATATACCGCAACTAGGCCTGAATTGGTGAGTTAGCCAGACATGAGCACTTTGAACGATTGTTGTTGATGCTGCATGCCCCACTGATCCTTGCGCATTCTTGATGCCTGTTGGACCTGTTGGATGAACACTAGGAACAAGGATGTATGGCAGTCGAACGTCAGAAGATAGTCATCTCCAAAGTTTGACCCTACAAACCTGACAAATTCTTCATAAGGTCAAAAAACACTATGAGAAACTGAAAGTGCTGACTTTGAGTCTTAAACGCAAGGACGACAAGGATGTTGACACAGTTATTATATTCCCAGTCTACATATGCTCTTAGACTAAAGAAATGAAAGCAGAGCTTGTTTCTAGATCTTTGGGTCACTGAGGCATAGGTGTCATGCACGCCAGCCTGGCGGGCATGAACGACAACCCGGTCTTTAAGGTGTTCACGGGTGTTTGGGATGGGGTAAGTTGATGTCAGTTGGAAATGTGGTGGACGATTGGACGATCTCCAAACAAACTCAGACTGGAGTTGAGAGTATATACTGCACAAAGCTAGAGCGGAGTGAGTGGATCGAGCACAAACAACAGCTTTTTATTTTTCTAAATTACTGTAAGTATGTCATGCATCAAGTGGAGGTACAGCAACAAATGTATCATATGTGTTCAACATTGTTCAACAACAATCACTGTCACTGTCACCGCTCGGTGGGACCAGCTTCCTCCAAAACCATACTGGCGAGGAGTGGAGCAAGACGCACATCATGCCGCAGGACTTCGCCGCACATCGCAGACACTCTGAGCTTCAGTTCCTGAAGGTTCCAAAGCACAAACCAACAGGCTTGCTTTACGTGGGAGGATTGCTTAAAGTCACACAGCTCTCTAACTTTTGATGATTTTCAATTTTTCTGCTGTCAGGAGGATTCTGGGAAGCCAGCCAAAGAGCTGCTCAAGAAGCAGTTTGCTCGACGCATGTGGGTGGCTTGGTTGCATTTGGTGCAGTTTGTATTTGAGACGACAGGCCTCTGCAGGAGGGAGTGTGTAATACTTGTGTCGCATTGCAAGAGGAACAAAACGATACGTAAGGTGTTGTAATGTTTGCCCACCCAAAGTGAGGTGAGCTTGCAGGAACCAGTGCAGGTCATAAGTGAGAGCACACAAAACGGGTATATAGGTGTTCGATCTTGAATGTTCCTAGACACATTTTTTTACACAATGATGTTTCCATTATTGGCTCTACTGTATGTGCAACCTCATTTTAAGACGGACATTTCAGACCAAACACCAGTTGGTTTCATTGAGATTCCACATCACTTTACCCTAGGTACATTGGTGAGTTAAACACAATAAGAGGTGAGCGACCCATTGCAGAGCCCATCGTGATGGTGGGATGTCCAACATGAACATGACAGGACAAAATGCCAGAGTTCCATGAAATCAATGTGCCTTGGCTGATTTGCGAGGGGCGGTGACCTGCATTTTTTGATGTTTCGATCGGCGAGTGGCCAAGCAGAGGCTAGTAAGGTATTTGGGGCAGTGTCAGGTGGGACTGTTGGGTTCGAGGTACTGTAGTGAGTCACCAAAGCTAGCTGGAGTTGTTCTTGCTTGCTTTAGCAAGTCAGGGGCTGGAATCCTTGAGAGCGTCGCATCGCGTGAAAACTTCATATGTAGGGGGGGCCCCCCACCTTCCCCCCCCCCGCGGGTTCAACTCCTCCCTGGGATGTCTCTGGGACGTGTATATTTCCGCTGGCAGAGGGCTGACTGTTCCTGTGGCGGCAGGATTTTCACCCCTTTCTCGGTCGGATATCACCCGCTTCACCCCTGCCCTGCTAGCTTTCGTCACCAACCCTCGGCCTCAAGTTAAAGCAGATTGGTTGGTTGATGACTGTGATTCCTCCACGGGTTTGGTGGGAGTGTGAAGGAACAGACAAGAGGACTGCGAGGACTGCGAGAATGAACATTTCCTTTCGTATTGAAACTAGGAAACCCTTACTTTTATATAAGGGGTTCTCAAACTTGCCAACCTGCAGTTGACCTCATTTATTTCTTTTGAGTCTTGCTTTCAACTGAGGTATCCAAGACTGGCATACTCTCCAGAGAGGACTGGGGTTTGCTGGACCGGCGGATGATGCTTGATGTTGGTGGCGATGATGAGGGAGGATACTCCCACCAGTGTGTGCGCGGGTCATGGATCTACCAGCTCCCTGTACATCGCCTTGCAGGATATGGTACGGTTAGGATGTGTAGCTGTAGCCTGTGTGCGATAGAGTTCAACGCTCCTGTGAGCCCATGAATGATCGTTCTCGCTTCTCCTGATAAGCATCTTTGGGGCAAACTCCCAGCCATGTTTTTGGATTGGGCCTATGCATGTGATAGTGCATGTGATTCAGGTTCTGATGAAGCACCAGATAATTTCTTGTTGGTGCTCTATGTGCAAACACTTCGAGGAGCCCCTAGTAGCTTCTTGCTCCTAGTAGTAGGGCCAGGACCCCCCTGGTAGCTTCTTGTTACTAGTAGCGATGCCAGGAGCCCCTAGTAGCGTCCTTGCTCCTAGTAGCGGTGCTATACAATTGGTGCTGTGCAAGCCGAAGCAAAGATGCCCCACCTTTTCACAAAGCGCCACAAGAGGAACTTGAGAAGCCCTATCGTAAGGTCAGAGGGCCTGCTGTGGACAGGAGGTGCGGAACGCCTATGTTCAGACCTTCACACGCTGTGCTGAAGCCGACCTCTCAGAAACCCACACAGGTGGATCACATGGACAGAAAAGTCTTTGGAGTTGTTGCCTGTTGATGAGATTTTGCAGCCATTAAAGCAGAGTGCTTGAAGATGCTTGTAATGCATTACGGTTCAGCTAGCATCATCTGCATTTTGCAGAGGTTTTTACTTATTGAAGGTTGTCATGAAATCGCCTTTGCCAATATGTTTTGAACCTCATGAGAAGAAACAGCCGCAGACAATTGAACATACAAAAATCTGATCAAGAAGACATGCAAGCTGAAGGTTTTGTTCAAGCCACACCCGAAATGAACTGCAGAAAGCAGCAGCAACAGTTGTGCAGTAGCAGAACGAGTAAATCAAGGGGTCCTTGATGGACGTGCACATCTCCCTGGCCAGTGCCTGGGCGTGAAGTGGTTTTGAATACTGTACTGTAGTACATCATGACGTTGAGGGTTATAAGGCTGGGGGAAATGGTATGGTGCCTAACGGGCGTTCCTTTTGCACAAATAAAACATAATAAAACAAAATGCGTGGTTTGACTTTTTTGTTGCTTCTATCGTAGGGGAGAGCTGATGACAAAAATCAAGGCGAATATTGAAGACGTGACAGAAACTGAAACATTCCTTTCCTAGCTCGATGCCCACTTCACAAAGGATACTATTTGAAGGAAGGACGTCCTGAGCTTTGTGCCAACATCTATATACTTATATGGTTGGAGGCCATCACTATTAGTACACATATCCCACCTCCTAGGTCTCCGTGCGCTGGAAGTGTACCGATGAAAGGGCTTGTTCTAAAGGTGCCAGCCTGCAGACTCGGCCGTTATCAAAGGCTCTTCATAACATATCCCCGACAAATGCTGGCTACTTGCACTGTATGCTTCGGAGCTTGTCAATCTGTTTGAGAGTATTGAATAAACAAAGCAACTCTTCCAATAGAGGTGATACGTGACGCATTCCCATATAACATATAGGAATGCCTTTGCTTTGCGAGGTGGCCGTGGCATTGTGCTTCCGGGTTGTGCACCGGACTCTCGGGTTAGGGAGCTCAAACTAGCAGCACAGCAGGCATTCAGGCTGGGCTTTCTAAGATCCTTGGCAGCTCGTAAAATCGCATGTCTCACATTCACCAAACAACTACAAAGAACTAATTATATGTTTTGACGAAAAGTTGTTCAGCTGTGCCGCTCTTTGTAAGAATCCAAAAGTAGGTGGAAACTCTGCTGGCAAGCGCCGCACAAGCCCAGCGGACCATGCAGTGGATGGGGTCATATGCCATGAAAGGTACTCGTAGACTTCTGCTTTTGCCCAAAAGCATCGCTGATGCTTTTCCAAAGGATCTCAGAAAGAGGAAACGCTGTGGAGGCAGTGCAGATGGCAGAAGACCTTGCGAAAGGAGTTTTAGGGACAATGATGATACACCGTGCTGGAAGTCGTAATACCTTGTGGCATGGACTCGCGGGGGGGTGGATCAGGGTACGATCAGCGCACCCGATTGTACCAGAACCTGTTTCAGGCCAATGAGGCAGCCTTTGACTGTCAATGCTTTGTTGGTAGACAAGCACAAAGCCCCAAAGAGTTTAACAAACTTCACACGACCCATCACAAGCAAATGGCATGAAGAAATCGGGTGCATTTAGTTTAGGGATCAAGTGCACTGTCGCACGATTTCTACATAGTTCGAGGGAGGGTGTGCCCGCTAAGGACAGGAGACACCAACAGACTGGACCCTCAACTTGTGAACAATGATACATACATTTCTGATTGCAAGATTATTCTTTTCTTTTCCTCGCTGAAAGATTAATGTTCTCTTCATATTATGTTTCTTTCCCTTTTGGATCCTTTTGGTATCTTCTGGTTGCTTGCTGCTTCCTGGCCTGGACGTTCTGCTTCGTACTCCCGCATCGGCGCCTGCACATAGATTTCACCAAACGCTCAGCACAAAGCACCGCGCGCCTGTTTTGCTTTCGGGGTCGGGCTCACCTTGTGTTGTTTGTTTGTGGACTCTGGATGTGATTGCATCATTTCGGAAAACATCCAATGTGAAGTTTGGAAGAACTCTTGAGGAGAGTGAGTTGGAGTGGAAGTCCACTCCAATATTGGCACGTGATCTGGCAGATTATGTTGTCAAGTTGTGAAGTGTCATTGGTGTTTGCATTCTGATATCTACATGTTTTTTTTTTGCAAACTTGAATCCATTGGCCAAGGACTGGTCTCGGCTGACGGGCAGTCTTTGCCTTCAAGCTCCACCTTGCTGGAAGCAGGCATCCTTCATGGTGACACCTTGACAGCAGTTGTGCAAGCAGCGAATGTGGTTGCCACGCAAAGAGCCTTCGCGATGTGGTTCTGCGATGGCGAGGCGTTTTGCTGGGGAGCCCCAGGTGCGGCTGCTAATCAACTAGCAACAGCTGTTTGGATACACTGCAAGGCCTACTGTAGGTTTTGGTTTCTAAATGTTTGTGGTGTAACACCACTACATGATACTACATGTATGCATCCCTTTCCACCAACCAGAATGCCTCTTCTTGACGACAACGTGCCAGGATTTGGTGGCCGAGGTCCACCGGACAAGCTCCAAAGCATCCAGCAGATCGCTGCGACGGGCTATGCGTTTGCGGCAGTGAAAGTGGATCATCGCCGTGGTGAAACATCGGTGGTGATTTGGGGTCACCGCGGTTTTGGTGGAACTTGTCATCCTGAGATTCAAGATCAGCTCAAACATGTCGTTCGAATCGAAGGGAACACTTTCAACTTTGCTGCCATCCTGCAAGATGGATCTGTGCTGACCTGGGGTAGAAGCTCCACCAAGAGAGTTCGACCGCTCTCCGATGTCCAAAAGGTGGTTTGCAGTTTCTCAGCATTTGCAGCCATTTTGTCTGATGGGAAAGTCGTCACTTGGGGACAGTGCGAGGATGGTGGGAACAGCCGCTTGTTTGTCATTCTTTATGTCGTGCTGCCTTTTGGATTTTTGTACCCCAATGTTGCTGGCCTCACATGATGTTTATTCGGGGGGTTGCTCCCCTTTGGTGACACCCTAGCACATGTCTTTGCTCAATAGATTTCCTTGTTGGACCTGAGGTGGCAAGGTTGCGAAAGAGCTGGAGGCAGTGAGAGAAGTGACTGGGTCTTCCTCCGCCTTTGCTGCTTTACGCAATGATGGCAGCGTCATCGCTTGGGGTAAACCTGCATGTGGTGGTGACACCGGAGAAGTGGATGAAGAGCTGAAAGATGTGCTTCAGATTCATTCGTCTTGGGGTGCCTTTGCGGCCATTTTGGAAGATCGAACAGTTGTTTGCTGGGGAGATCCTGACAAAGGAGGCGACTCTCGGCTTGAAAGATGGGCGGGTTTCATGCTCGAGCATTTTGAAAGTGAGGATCTTGAATGATCTTAACCGTGAAGCACGAATAATCAAGCATATAGGAGACCTCTCAAGACTGAGCAGATTTGTGAGAGTGCCGCCGATGCATAGTACTGTATGATTGTTTATATTTATAGAGTAACATTTCATTAAACAATATGTGATATATATAATATATATATTCCCAACGAAATCCTACGACAGTTCAAATTTGCTGCTTACAGATAGGATATTCAATGTCGTTGCAAGATTTGTTCAAGCATTTGCATTTCGCAGGCGGCCGCAACGATTCGCGAAAGGGATGTGAAAGAGGCATTTGTTGGGAAAAGCATTTAGGACGACCCTCGAGCCCCAGCATAAGTTTCATTTGTTATATGTAATAGATTATAGTCATACATTTCTCATTGATGACATCAAACATTGTAGCTCTACTGTAATGTCGCTCAGGATCCGTGGGAGCAGGCTTCCGTTTATTTGTTGCGAAGTGAGCCGAGGATGCTGGCAGTCTACATTATCAACTGAAGGAAGTGCAAAGCATTGCAGCTACTGGTTCTGCTTTTGCTGCAGTCTTGGCAGACGCAAGTGTATTGACCTGGGGCGATCCCCTGTGCGGAGGTGATTCTAGTGAAATGCAAGAGCAGCTAAGGACCTTGGAGCATACAGTTCAGGTCAAGAATCTCCCTCAACACTGAAGCGCAACGTCTAATATTGTAAAAACACAGAACAAAGGGTCGTGAGTCCTCGGCTGACCACGGCGTAAGTAGTGGGATGAATGGTAGTCCTGTGCTATGATTGAACGAGCATGCCACAGCCTGTACTTACAACCCCCCCGTTGACTAAAAACAGTAAACAAAGTAAGATATTGATATAGAAGAAACACATGGGGAACCTGTGGAGACGTTTGTTTCGACCTTTCTCTACCCTGAAGCAGGAATGTGAGAGAAGTTCGTGGTGGGAGCCGTGCATTTGCTGCAATTTGTCTTGATGGAACAGTGGCAGCATGGGGGGGACATCGATTGTGGTGGGGATACGAGTGCAGTACAACAGCAGCTGGTGAATGTGCAAGAAATCCATGCCTCTGAACGTGCCTTTGTAGCAGTCCTCACAGATGGGAAAGTCGTTTGTTGGGGGCATTCTGAATACGGGGGCAACTGTGCTGGCATACAGGATTGGCTAGATGCTTTGTAAACAAAGTTTTTTGGCAAGTCTTGGCAGCCATGAAAGCCACATTCCCTTGGCCACTTGCCCACCTGCATATTCTGAGCCGCTTGAACCAGAGCAAGCACACGTCTCATTTTGCTACTGACTGCCTGGAAGATACCAGAAGCTTCGGCCACACCATTTCGAGTGCATTCCTGTATGAAGAGCTGTCTGTTTGGATTTCGATTGATGTCCACATCGCACTTCAGATTCAGCGTTTGTTGTTGGGCTTCACCATCGCTCCGGATTTGTTTGACGATCTGAAGATGGGTCAGAAGATGTCAGAAGTATCAGCCGATCAACTCATTATAGCAGAAAGACTATTTATTTGGTTTGATCGGTTGGCACTTTATGCAAGGGCTATGGCCTGATCAGTCGTGCCTACTTTTGGCCGTGGTACTTACTTTAGGGACGAGTTGTTGCTTGTGAAGCAACCGTGGCAGAGAAAATCCGTCGAAAGAGCGCTTTCATTTTCAAAAACGGGCATGGTCTTGGAATATTCAAGTGACCCCCCACCTCCGCAAATCATACACGGAAAGATTACATTCTTGAACCGCTGCTCTTTACCAAGGGCCTTCAGGTGCTTGACCCGTTTTTCATGTCATGTGTTATCATGTGTTTACGCTCATCAATACAAAGAAAACGGAAAGTGTGGAAGGCCATAGAACAATCCGCACGCATTCTTGAAACATCTTGAAACATGTTCGGACTTCCGTTTGAACATCCTGATGACCTCTGGACTTTCAATCAATGCTTTGTACAGAGGCTGTTGATGCATCGATGGATCAGCTGCTCTCTGTCGCGGATGCGGTACGCCACGACATGACTTGCCCCAAGTGCTTTGTGCAACAGGCTGATGTTGATATCTCTGGAGTTTAGCTTTCAATTAGGGGTGGTGCGTCCAAGTGAAGAACTTCATTCAAGTTGATCAATTGGGCAATGCGAAAAAACATCAAACAACTAAATATACAGTACATCACGTCCAACCTGCTGTTGTTTACATGTTTTCTATATAATTATAAGGACCTTTATGTGGAGGATCCAACCTGCAATCAGGCGAAGTTAAGGTGAGAGAAGAGACAGGAAATCGTTTGGAAAGTGGATGTTCGAGGGATCCAGTTGCAGCTCACCAGAACTCCTCATATAAGATGTTCAATAAATTCCAACAACACACCCTATACACGAAAAGATGGCCAGGATGAAACTGGTGAAGTGACACCAAGCAACTACGAAGCAATCTTCAGGCATCGCCCTTACCACGTCATGGTATGATCTGACCTTTTGTGGACTTGGAAAGCTGCCGCGGCCCGCGAGTTGGTTTCTCTTAGCTTTTCATGGACTAGGTGGACGCCAGTTTGAATCTCTAACAGTGACAGTTTGTAGCGATCCGGTAACAGGATCAGGATCTTGACTCCGCCATTGCCCAATATGGGCTCTCAAGCAAATCCAGCGGAATCCATTCGGTTACGTCGTTTGCATTTTTGAAAGCAAGGGCTTCTTGATTGGTGGGATGCATGTTCTGAAACACCTGGATCTCAAGACACGTGCGATGGTGCGGGTGCCTTTTGAGGCTGCCAACTTGGATCACACTCAGCCATTTCACCAAGGAGCAGGCAGGCTGACCTCGGGTGACATACCATTTTTGACCAGCTCCCTAGCAGTTCTTGCCTGTCAAGACCTATTGCTGCATGCTTCATATCAACATGTTGTTGTCACTTTTCACGATGTCCACAATTCCTTTAGTTTCATGGTCTGGTTCGGGAGACATCGTTTTGAACTATGGCCCAGTCGCACACTTGGATTGGAGCCATGACAGCTGCACTCTTCCACTTTCCTGACTAATGCATCCTTGCTCCCAGTAGCGATGCCAGGAGCCCCTAGTAGCGTCCTCTTGTTCCTAGCATTGGAAGTGGATCACACTCAATGTCGAAGTGCTTGGCTCCGATAGAGTATTTTTTGCTCGAGACTACTCGTGCCGATGGAGGGAGCCAGCAATGGAAGGCAACATGATTTGTCGATGGGTAAGACTCTTCACAGCAGCTTTTTTCTGACAAGAGCAATGGTTCAGTTATATGTCTACCGTTGCGTGTGACAGGTGATGGAAACATCACAAAAACTCAAACCAGCCTTGGCGCACTGGTACAACAGATGTCAGAAGATGTGTATGTGGCTAGCCAGGTAGCGTAGTTGCCAGCCGAAGATCAAGATGAGATGGGAGCAGGGACAACCGTGTTTTTGTTTCTCTCCCTTCTTTGTGATGCAGTAGTAATAATGGAATTACACTCTGCGAGGCTACTGGCCACTTCTAAGTTATTTCAGATCCCGTCACGCAAAGCCCTCGGGTATCAGGTACTGACGGTACTGAACTGCTACCGGCACAACAAAGCCACGCAGAGCTTTGTGCTGTATGACCCTCTAATTCAGTGATGAATACAACTCACAACGATGGACATGAGATCCGGCTAGTCTCAACCAGCATCTGGAACAACCGGACATCTTATCAGAATCGATCAGCTAGCCAGTTTTAGAAAAGACTTGGCGTCAGCAGCACCCCTTTGATAACGAAGCTCTCCTGCTCAGGCATCGTGGCTTTAGAAGTGTTTGTGACATGGATCTTAAGCTTCTACAATTTCCGATTTCTTCACAGCATTGGTGCCTCGACGAAGGACCCGTTTGATCCCGTGCGATGGGTGCGGGAAAATGAACCCCCAAGGCAGAACACAATCTCTCACTATGTACACGTCGGTTGGTGTTCCATTGTTGCCTCATTGGTACATAATTACAACAGCTCTCAGTTTGGACGAAGAGTAACAATGTAACAATTGGCGACAGAGTTTGCCATTGCAATCTTGCTTGTACCCTCCCATCGCCAAAAAGAGCAACACATAGGGCCCTTTGTCAGGTTGAGCAGATTGTTGTCCAAGGTACCTTCCTGTATACTAGTCTATATAGGTAATATGCAGAGTTACGTCTACTGGCCAGAAGAAGTCAATTGTGGACAGTGGAAGGCAGGCCATGAAAAATGGCCCCCACCGTACACGAGCAATGGCTGTTGCTGGTGCATTGACAGCAATTGTTTGAGGGGCTGGACGTGCCGACAGTGTTTGATTTGAGTCAGGCTAGCGGCTAGACAGGCTTGCATTTTGTCTAGCAAAAGCATGTGAGTATTCCCTCCGCTGGTGTCAGTGTTGCAACCTGGGAATGGGTGAACAACCAAATTAGTTAGGCTAGGGAGTTACAGTAGGGAGGTGAATGCATTGGATAGGATGTCCACCACATCACTGTTAAAAACAGCACATTATATCCTTCATCCCCTCACACCTTGTTTTCGATCTCCGTCGCAAGGTGCACCCTCAAAGCATTTAAGCTTGAACCGTGGGCATTCTGCTGAAGAGTCTTGTTCTATCATGTTCTATTGAGAAACAGGCGAGCTCTTTTTGGGTTTATTTGGTCTTGAGGCAGTTGCCTTTGTTGGTGACCTTCGAGCAAGACTCTTCATTTCACTGGAGTAGTGCGAAAGATGCCTTGCAACTTGGGTAGGCTTGGTGCCGCTTGAAGTTTGACAAATCTCTCACCGGGCAGTTGAGGTTTGTACCGCTCGATCTTGTGCTGGCAATTCACCATCATGTCTCTCCATGTGGCGCCTGTTGCTTCCCTGAAGCTACTGGGACGCCTGGCCATGATCTGCTAGTCAAGCCCAAATAGCCCAGCCAGCCGTGGCATTCATCGGTCTTGGATATTGGAGTCAAGTATTGGAGTCTCGTGGATTAGGCAAGTGAGGTATCGGGGAAATGTGACCTATTTCTATTACACTGATTACACCATCCGAATATAACTTTTTCCCTTTAGAATTCACATATTGGGTATTGTGTATGTCGATGAGCACATTCTCTAGATGTAGATTGACGATCACATGGGGCATTGATTTCTCGGCTGAATCTATCAATTTTGACATGCAACAGTGCTTGACACATTTTGACATTTTGACATGTTACCATGTTGTGAAAAGGGAGTGTGCTATGATTTCCGACTTTGAGGGCTTCCACCCAGCCTGGAGCTTTGTGGCGCCTGCAGCTTCTTCCTCACCAGCTGGGCCTCCCGATCCTTCAACCCTTCGATCTTCTCGGCGCCTGGGCTAATTGGATGCATCCCGCCTCTTCGGATTTTGGGTTTGGGGTCATCTACTGATACTGATTTTATCTTCATAGATCTTCTATATCGTTGCATTGCTAGGTTGAGGCGGCAATGTAAATCCTGGAAACATCATCTTCCACCAGAAGGAACCTCCTTTCAGGGGCTCTCCATATCATCAATTATCCGTTTCTCGTTCGTGCAAGGATGTAGGTTATCATCGACGATCTTGCAAGCTTTATATATATAATATATGCCCAGTCAGAAACAGTTTTTTTTGGCCAGGTGATGATGCTTCTTCTGGAAGTTGGGGCTTATTGCTGTGTCTTGAAGAAGCTTGTTGCAGAGCTTTCCCAGTCCGCTGTTTTTGGATCTTGCACTCATGAGTCAAGAATGTTTTAAGTGATTCTTGTTGATAGAAGGTAGATGATTGAAGGTTGCTTGCCGCAGCCCACCACACTTTTGCAAAGGCATGCAAAGGCTCTATGTTCAATTAGGAAGTCGAGGTCGGTCTGCCATCCAGGCCATGGTATTACACACCCTTCCCAAGACTGGTTGTGTATTGGCATTTGGCATTGTTGCTTTTCTGCTGTCCAATACCCTTACGACAGATCCTCACCCCAGGTGACTTGACGGGGTGGTCAGCATCCATGGCATTGCTCCAGCTGGTGATTGCATCGGTGGCCTGGAGCGGCCACAGGGATGCAAACTGCGTGATAAGAACCCCAGTGAAGAGTGAGAAAAGACTCCATGACTGAAGTTGTTGTCGAGTCTCCAATCCACCTATATACAACGAGCCGTTTTTGCGCATGACTTATGTAGCGTTATGTAACTGATCCATAGAATCTATGGTTCCTGACTGAGTCAAAGAAAAATTGTTACCAAACTCCAATATAAGCGCTGAACATGAAAGGGTCAATGAAAGTCAACAACTTGCCTTAGATGGCTTTTACAATTTGTTGTTTGATTTCTAGGGGGAATACCCACAGGTCGACAAACTAATAGGACATCATAATTGTTTGCCAACCTCCGTCTTCATTTGACACACCCATTTGTAGGTACTTGTAGTTGTCGGCACAACTGAGGAATGCTGCTCGCCAGCTGTGTCTTGCTAGCATTGACATTCGCTACTTTGGATGTCACCAATGTCACCAATAATTTACCCCTGTGTGTCACCAGACAATGAAGAATACAACAATATGTTGCCCAAAGATGGAGTATGCAGAATAAACAGTACAGTAGAAGAGAGGGCAAGAGCTCCGTGACAAAAGTATCCCTAAATTCAGAGTGTTTGCCATGTCGCACTACCTGGACCTGCGGATGAATCGGCCCTGCTCAAGCACGAATCCAAGGTTTTGATGATTTCAGCTTCGTTCCAATGGACCGGCATTTGAACCGTGCCGCTCAGTGAAAATCGGGCATAGCAGAGAGGGAGTTTTCAGCAATCGCATCTCCATAGCCAGATGATAGCGCCGTTTCGGAAGCCCTTTGTGCGCCTTGAAACTAAGCTGATTATGCCTCCAATTAATTACTGTTTTCTAACGGTTTGGGCTGTATCTCAGGGCACACAAAGTAATTTGACAACCAATCCACAGATGGGTGAAGATGCTCGTGAATATCCATTCTTGCCAGGGTTGGAGATATTTCCGCAGCTCTTTGGCAGCACAGCGGTGCTTCGCCCATGAGTGCCCCGAATGCAAGGGCGGTCGAATAAGAATGCCGCTTGTAGTTGGATCTTCGGTACAGAATGCTGCTTCTCGAGCTTATGTGGAGCTAGAGTTGTTTGTCAAAGTGGTGCAGCCTTGCAATGCACACTGGTGAGAATGCTGCTCAAACTAGACAATCTATGAGAATCTAGAGAGTCAGCATAATACCGCCGCACAGGAGGAATCAAACAAACATCAAACTTTTGGCCTGCCACAATAGGTTGCCGTTTTTGGGACAATGGATGGGAAAACCAGGTAGTTTTGCATGCGCAGTATCAATGACTTAAATATAATCCTTTAATATCCTTCTCGTCTTTGCCCTCCTTCTTCATGTGGGAGACCATCGCTAGTATATAGGTTGGAGACCATCCCTATTAGGTTCCTTAAAGTATTTGTTCCCCATGCCTTATTGTTCCATCGCTATTCGGCGCCACGATATGCCATGTAAACACTGAAGGTTCTCCAGTCACTGCATTGCTCAGCTGGTGTTCGCTGATGCCTTGCGACGAGCTCAGACAAGCCCTTCCTGGTGCTGGTCCTCAGCAATCCACGGCGCAGTGGTGATTCAGGCACCACGACCCACAACATGGGTGTCAGTGGCGGACTGACAGACATTCATTAAACTGAACCTTCTCAGCTAGAATTAAGGACGCTACTAGGGGCTCCTGGCCTTACTACTAGTAACAAGAAGCTACTAGGGGCTCCTGGCATCGCTACTAGGAGCAAGGACGCTACTAGGGGGGGCTCCTGGTGGCAAAGCCAGTTGGCCCCTATCTCGTTGATTCAAGCAACATTGCCCGCGTGGTGAATGGCCCAAATGGAGGCGACGCGACTCTGACCATATTTGTTTGGTCCCAGCCATACCTTGTCAAACAAGAATGGAAGCCCAAAGCATTGCATTGGCTCCTCACGTGTTGCACTGCAAGGCATTCTATGCTACTTTGGTGCTGGTGGCTGCCATTCTGATTCCACCCCATGCTCTACCATACCAATTGGGAAGAGTGCCAAAGGTCTTGCAATATCCTGCAACTTGATGGCAGGGGATCAAAGGGTGCGAAATCACACACACATACACGGGAGTGCACGAGTATCGTAGTGCCCCAGGACTCAGAATTCATCCTGTGTGGATATTTGTGTCTAACCTTGCTTTACATTCAGGTGAATTTGTTCACATGTTTTGTTTGTTGTCCCTTCCTGGAGCCCTTCTTGAACACGTTTTGACAACCTGATTTTTGTTCGCATGCTTTGTTCAGGTTAATTTACCGCCAGCTCTATATGGCGATGGGGCCAGTGAGCGCTCCTTAGCTGCGAACAGACCTATGCACACAGCTGAGGGCTGCGAGGACTATCGCAGGGCTATCGCATCTCCCGTCCAACTGGTCCAAAAGACTGACCCAAGGACCCAATTGGACGTCCATATTGGACCCATAGCCTGGAGCCACCATTGGAGCCCGACAGGTTTAAGTGAGGTCACTGCCACTGCAGGTCTCTAGTCCTTGTTGCGAATGAGTCAATGGAATCAATGCGGAATTTCTGTTGACAAAATCTGACCTGAACGATTGCACCCGCAAGAGCCTTCTCATCAGAAGCCTTTGCGTGTTCAAAATAGGGACGTCCCAGAAGGCAGATACTATACAGTTGAAAGTTGAAAGTCAGCATGGTTTGAACCCTGGACCAGTTGCATCACAAATCAATATTTGCACTTGCGGCTTTGATGGGGTACACGGAGGTATATGGTATATAGATTAAACCCACTGATGTTCTGCACAAAACTGAGGTATGGACACCCGGAGGTTCCCTTGGTGGGCACAAGTGCCTCAGGACTCTCTCCGGGTCGGAAGCGTACGAAGCTACAACCACTTGTGTCTAGCACTGGGGACCAAGAAAGAGAGTGAGGATCCCTCAGGCAACTATATATATATGGGTACAACATCCTGAGGATGCTGTGGGCGACAACAACACCAACATGTGTGAATTGTGTGAAATTCTCGGGAATTTGTCACGCAGATGGCTTGCTTCCAAAATCACTGCTTCCAGAATTGTATAGTTTCGCCGCTTTTTCAACGGAGCGCATACGCAGACGTCAGGTCTCAGGTCTCAGCCATTGAACCAAAGGAGAATATCATATACTTACATGTTATTTACAGCAAAAAGGAGAAGAGCATCATCAAGGACGGAGAAGTGTATATCGTATCAACGTGCTCAAGACAAATCTTTGCTGAGAGCTCATGTCAATGTATTTTCCAAAGCCTGGGCAGAGTCTGGGAGAAATCATTTTGACATCAGGTTCTTCCTGATTCTACTCTTGGCCTCCCCCAATCTATTCTCTACGCAGACAAAAATACTAATTGTTCCAAAGTCTGGGCCACTTGCTGACGGTTGACGCGTCAACAAGGGATAAGATCTTTGCCGCACGATCAAGCCGAAGCATCATGTAAATGGACACCAAACCTGAGATGTAAACGGAACAGTAGTAGCCAAAACATGCACGAAAGTCCGCGTACACATATCTGCACATCTCCTCAGTGGCCTTGTGGGTATTTTGAAGTTGTGCTCGAAAACGACAAAAGCCCACAGCGGTGATGGGGTGTGACACCAACGCCAAAAGGCTACCCAACACAACGAGTTGTCCCTGAATGGCCCGGGGATCATTTCGCACAGAAGTTGCAAACGCAATGGAATTATATGCAAACATACGAGCTGGTATGCTGACACTCACAGGGGCCTAGAGACGTTTCACTCTTCGCATTGCGTCATGAGCGTGAACAACCTTTAGGACAAGGAGAAGGTTGAGAAGGACGACTAGACTGAACATTCTCACTGTTTGGTGCCCAGGGACCTAGGGATTGTGTTATTTTTCTTACTAGCGACAGGAGCGTTCTGTTCTTCTTCCAGATGCCAGCAAGTCAGTAAATAAGTATGTTCAGAGGGCATGACGATGAAAGGCGGCAAACATCAAACATGCTGATGTAAATGGGCAGGTGTGGCTAAGGCATGCTAGGGCTCTCGAATCCAAATTTGGACTTAGATATACATTGTTTTCATTGTTTATTTCTGGCCAAAAGCCTGTTTATTTCATTGTCTCTTCGGCTGAGGTCTTGCTTTGGAGAAGGTGCTCCACCACGCCTTGGCAGATCCGAGAAGACCAGACTCGCTGAGCTGGGCAGTTCCGATCTAAGCTCAGTGGCGGCGTGGGGTGGGATACAGAATCCCTATGAATCCCTGAATGTCCAGAGATTTCGAACCAGCAGGTTCTTGCAGATAGCTTGTAGCGCCGGCCCCAAAGGATCCACGTTTAACTCAAGCTGTGGCTTGTGCTTGCAGCAGTTTAATACTGGATCAGCCTCATTGTGCAGGAAAAGTGCATTGTCACATATTGTCACGATTCTTGTGGCCGCGTGCAGTTGGAGTATAATGGAAACGCAGACCGACCTGTAAGTAATTTGTTTTACATGCTTTTGCATGTTTTCTTTGCACAATATGGTAATCAGATGTAATCAGCAGGAAACCTCTTTTGAATGACTTTTTTGAAACGACCTGAGAAGACAAGGTCGACCTCCTTGCAAGCGATCTCATGCTGTTTGCAGGCCATGTCATCAAAGAAGTCGTCCTCACAGCAGACGAAGATGGGCACATTCCTTTGTGCACCTGGCGAGTCTTGGGGCGTCTCGAGTCACAAACCATCGTCCCATCTTCATGGCTGCCAGTGTGAGAGAGGTCCTTTGGACAGTGACATGGGTCCTTTCGTTTGCATTTGGAGTGGTAGGGTGAAAGGAAGCCAAGGCTTCAAAAAACTCTTTTGCCACTTGCATGGCAGAATGTTTGTCCAGTAAGAACAACAGTTCACAGGCCTGTCAGGTGCAGAAGAACGAGAGATGATGTGATCGAGTCAGATTCGCCAGGCGATGCTCTCAAGAGCGAATTAGAGGTGGACTGTGTCCTTTTTGACGGTGGCAACATCCGAGGAGTGCTCATGGTTCATGCAACATGCTTGGCCACGAAGTGCAACATCAAAACACTGGTAGAGCAAGCCGTGGTGATTTTTTGGCGTTTTTCGGGGCCTACAGCTATCAACCACCTGGTGGTCCTTGTGCGAGACTGAGCTTCTCGCCTCAGGAAATCGGGACTACAATCCGCAGCCAGGGCATCACCGGGGCACAAAGTGCCAAGCTAAGGATGTTACACCCAGTCTAAACAGAAAAGAAGCACATGTTCCTTGTTCAACAATATGGATCATTATGGATCATGTGCTGTTTTGTTGTGTTAGAAAGCTATAGTACATTGACATGGTTTGTCCGTGCTTGATCGCAACTGCATGCAACTGTTCTTTTTTCCCTGAGATGTTGGAACAGTTGGAACGGTGCAGTTGGAAAAATGACAGGACCTTGCAGAGGAACTGAAACCGATGGCGAGACATGTTGTTCTGTTGCTGCCGTGCGATCCAAGCCAACACTGCTATCAAAAGACTGGACTCCCCCCAACCCTTTGAGCCTCCCAAGGTTCTTAGGCCTAGCCATTTTGGTTCTTGTAAGCTTACTTAGAAGTGAATGTTGGCAGATAGCCTTGGTTTCTTTGTAGACCGTCATAAAGGCATTGCATATACATGTATATATTATATATATATAATTGGCTAATTTGAAGATGTAATTGTACCGTCTATACATTATATAATGATTTGGAGCTGAAGCTGACGTCGGAGCGGGAAAGCATCGATGCATTGAGATCAGAAATGAATGGCTTCGCTGAGTGGAAAGAAATGGATGACCCTCCTTGGATGCCTAGGTGGGCCTTCACCGTGGGGCCCCAAGGTGAAGAGGTGGAACACTTCGAGACAAGGTTAGACTAGACACCGTTAAAGTCTTGACCTCCATCCTTGCAGACTCTACACGTTCCGCTTTCACACGTCTCAGATGGATGTGTTTCGTTACGTGGCTAGGTGGCAGACCTGCGACGGGAGTTGCCTTGGCCATCGGAGATGGCCACCGTCGAAATGGAGGGCCGACACATCAGCGAGGCTGCCGGATCTCTGTGGCTTCACCACCGACATAGTGCCTGGTTGTGCCGTGCTCGCTGCATTATGTCCTCACTGAATTCATCCTAAGTGAAAATAGGGTGCGGGTCAAGAACCGTGGGTGTGAAGTGTGAACAATTGTGAACATCCCCAAATTTACAACTAATTAATTTAATTAATGCCTTCCATATCCTTGAATCCTTTGGAAAACCGACAACTGGGGTGTGAAGAATCAACTCGACCCACACCTACATGTTGTCCAGATACTTAGTTTTTCAGGTAACAACATGAAGCCTCACAAGGATAATATGAGGCCCTGTACAGTCACTGTACAGCTTTGCAAATTCATTATATATATATATATCAATCGGATATAGGATATATGTATAATATATCCAGTGTCAAGCTTGGGCAGCTTCAGAAAATTTTGGTGTATCTGACTCAGCAGCTGCTTTAAGCTGAGACTGTTCCGGTTTGGGGGTTTCCTTTGAAGTTGGTCCGGACGTCCAGTCAGAAATGGAGAAGGGGCAAGGCTTGACTCTCCAGTTTCCAGACCCACATGCAAGCTATATCATGGAGAACCAGGGTAACCAGGTAATCTCAATGTACTGTTGTTCCCTGACCACAGGCGTGCACGCCCCAAGCCTCATTCCTCTTTCCTGGCAAGGCAGTCCAGTGCTCTCGCCAGCAGGCGTGCAACGCAACATGTTTTCTCACCAATCCTCCGAGCAATGACGCAATGACAAAAAGGTGACAGGTATTCAAGACTTGTGGCAAGTGAACTGAGTCCTTCCAGCGGTTTTGGTGGAGATATGAGGCAGTGCTAGATTTAGTCCACCACGGTCAGCTCTTTTGAAAAGAGCTCTTGTGTGTGGCCAAGTTACAAGTGGAATCATTCTGCCAAGAGTGGAGATGGTACCTGGTAGTTATCATTGAGTTGTTTTCTTTGATGAGGTCGAGGTTGCGAGGAACGCTTAAAATTAAATTGGTGTTCTTCATATTCCTGGAGCAGTTTCTTTTTTTCCAACTGAGGCAACATGGTTTAGCATGCTCCATTGTACCGTGGTTCAGCATGAGAATCTATGCAACAGCCACATAACGATCTCCATGGCCAGGTGGTCTCCCCAAACCGCCGGCTTGGAAGCAAGGCTGGGGAACTGCCCTGATGGGAGCTGCCGCGTGCTGAACAAGATCTTGAACATTTTGGCACCACGGGCTAAAGACAATCTTGGACACCGTTAAACTTAACGCTTTTAAATATATGGTGGCCTGGCCAGAGCAATCGGCCCCGGGGGTAGTCTAAAATACTTGTTCCCACCGTGTATTTAAAGGGTCTGGCCAGGCCCCCGTATGTTTAAAATGTAGACGGATCCCTGTTGACATTTCTTCTACAAAAAGGGAGAGCTTGAGGCCCTTACACAGGGGCCATGTTGTAACGAGGCAGTTTTTGGCACCTAAAAAAACCGATTTTTGTAGACAAATAACTTTGCTTTCTGCCCAGCAACTAGGTTGATCTAGCTTTGCAAACCCTCTCACAGGAAGTAGAATTCATCAATGACTCTTACTACTTTCAGGCCTGCAGGCTGTATGGGGAGGTGCGACACCACCAAATCAAAACCACCAGGGCCGCCTGGACCACCAAGATCGCCTAGACCGCCAGACCCAAGACCACCGGGACCACCAAGGCCACCGGGACCCTCAAGACCACCAAGAGCACCACCAACACCACCTAGACTGCCACAATCACTAAGAAACCAACAAACAATAAAAGTAACTTCAATCGTTTGCCTTGCATGTTTTTGAAAGGCTGTAGAGCATCATGCACACAAACATACGGTATCATTTTGTAAATATACGATTTTTGAAACAAGTGAACGGGTATTTTAGACTACCTCCGGCAAGGTTTCTTACAGGATAACTCCCAGATATGGAGCATCCCCCACTGGGGTGGAAATGAGATCAATTCATTTGGGTAATAGCAACAAGAAGCTGCTAGTAACAAGGGCATCGCTACTATTAGATCTAATTAGCAAGAAGCTACTATATAGTAGCTCCTGGCATTACTACTTGGAACAAAACGCTACAAGGGCAAGCACAGCCAGGTGCCAAACATCGCGGGCCTCTTCAAGCGAATCGAAAGCTCCCACCAGGCCTTGCTTTGGCGCATTGGTTCTATTAAAGAAGTGGAACCATTCAACACAAGATGGTTGGTGCCCTAAATGGTCCTCAAGTTGGATTTTGACTTGAAGCAGTCCACAAAGGTCTTATGAGGTAATGTGGGTGGATGGTCGCAGCAGATGCAGTAGTTGTATTTTGGGCGGCCACTGGCAGTCTCAGTCTCTTCATCTTTGACAAAAAGATAGATTTATACTGGCCTCACTTTCAGACCCTCTTCTTGCGATGTTGGAGCCAAGACACTTTTGGAGGGTGTTGATCTTGAGAGTCCAAAGGCTTTCCTGATCCAAACCTGAACACACTTGATCGGGTGCTGGCCAGTTGGCTGATTGACGGTTGGGGGTTGTATTGTTTGCTTAACTTAGAATAATGTTGCATCTTCCCATACGATGAGCCTTTGGGAGGATGCATAAATATGTTCCGATGCCGACATGATTGGTCTTCCTGGAATCCAATGGTTCAGCCACCGCCGACTAGCTGCCAGCTCATTTTTGAGTTGGACTCAGTCCGCCTTGGCCGTTGCTTAATTACAATTCGGACCACCACACCAAGGTTGCCATAAGGTTTTTTAAAGAACCCCAAATTGGTACATTATATAGTCGTGGGGTTGACTGTGATCATCTCGGAGAAGACACTTGATATCACTTTTTAGTTTAGCTGTCTCCAGCCTTTTCCTATCTAGGTGGAGGGTGGATTTCTGCAATGTGACAGTGGCATGCAGGCCTCCGGCTGGGCAGTAAGTGCTGGCCATTTTCATGCAAAGTGGCTTTCTAAGACTAGCATCAGAGACAAGCGTCTTCTAGCTTCCACTGGAAACAGTAATATATGTATATATTTATTTTTGCTAAGGTCTTCAAGTATGCCTGATGGGACTACAATGATGAGGAACAATGGACGACGGCAACGGATTGGAAGGACAGAAAACAGAAGTAGGGCTGCAGGATGAGGTGTGGGCACTGATCCCCAACTCTTTGAGAGTCCAGCACCAGATAGGGTTAGGGCCATGGGTCAAGGGGTCCACGGTTGTCAGTCTACAGATGTTTTGCTGGCTCCAGATTTTGACCGGTACCCAAAGAGCATGGGAAACAAACTACTTGCCCTTACTCTATATAGCCGGGGCTTACATTCTGGTCTCTATTCTCTGTAATGTATTGAGTATCATGTAGTCTTCCGTACTTTTCACTAATGCGCTTGATGGAAGAATCCTGAACAACACATGGGATAGCCCGATCGTTCCTCTCAATGCCAGGTGCGGCGCGACTACTCGGTTAGCCATATCAGCAATGAGACATTGGACCCGGAGCGCAGGCGCCATGCGGCACACTGCATGGGTAGAGTTCGGAGGAAGGGGTTTGGAACCATATTCAAGGTGACAGTTTACAGACTATGTCAGCAAATAAGCACATGAGGGATCGTCAAGATCAGTTTGGTCAAGATCATAAACTGGTCTCCATTGGCAGTGAGCATAAGGATGCATAGGGGGTTACTCAACCCAGCCAGTTGGATCTCACTTGTCAGTCCCTGTTCGATATCCATGCTGGGACAAGTCGTTGTGATTGAGTGGGTGCTTCGCTTGCGAGGTACAAGGTGGCCAGGAGCCTAAGCAGTGAAGGGGTGAATCTAGTGCACATATTGAGTCATCAAAGATGGAGTCAGGGCAATCAGAGCAGATGAGTCCTGCTGGGTTTTTATTTGGTGCCGGAACTTGTGTACACGACATGGTAGCTGGATCGAGTTTGTTTCTTGGACAGCTTGGCTCATGAACAATATCATTCATTTCAAACGGTTGCCGGAATCAACTCCAATCCAAAAGAATATAGAAGAGTAAAAAAGATATCAACAAAGGCTTTAAAGGGGGCCTTAGCGTCCTTGTGTTCATATTTGTTTTACTTGTTTCCAGGGACGGCTCTAAGTCATGCGGCCTTTTTCTCGTAGACATTTGATGTTCTCCCTTTTAAGCACTTCGGTGCAGCCTTACATCCTTTTCTTGAAAGGATGAATACAATGGTCCTTTTGCATGCACCACCCGATGAGACACAGGGCACGTGCTTGATGGCCTTATGACCAAGGCTGTGCTTTACAATGCCTTGATGGGCATGAACCAAAATCCTGTCTTTGAGAGATGGCGCAGTGAACCAGGCAGCTTTGCTCTCTTGCAGCATGGAGCTCATGGAATTCCAAGAAAGACTCAAACCTGTGGGGATTATGTAATCGGATTGATCCAGATTCTTGAGCAATAAACATGTAAACATCTATATAAGGTCTGGACGTTTCCTTCTTGTGCTGTTGCCGGGCAGTGGAGTAGTTCACATGGATATCTATACAGGTTACAGGTTCTTGAAATCTTTGTTTGTGCACCTATGAGGTTTTGCAGCATGTAACTGAAGAAGCGTTCGGTCATCAAAGGGAAAGCTCAAAAGAGCAACGGCAAGGCAGTTAAACATGGTTAAACTACCAATATAGTCGCCTGGGCCTGAACCGCCTGAACCATTACACTCCACAGCCTGTTCCTGTTGTTCCTGCCTCTTTCGATTCTCACTGATCTGCTTTGTGAGGTCATCGAGTTTCCATGCCATGCCCTCTAGCTCGAGAGCTTCTGATGCGACACTTCCTGCGAAGACTCTGGAAGTCACCGGGCCCAAGATCAGCTGTCAACCCTTCAGACCCTTCATGTGAACCTGCCACAGACGATCAACAAATCATGGTGGAGGTACAAAGATGCAAACGTATACAAAAGTGTGATGCCTTTACGTTCAGGGTGTCCGAAGGTATATATATATATAGGACATAGAAAGTGTATCCTGGCTGTGCATACTCTCAAGCTTCAGATTCAGATATATAGAGAGAATTTAATCGTTTTCGGCTGAAGGGATCGACTGATAAGCTGATCTCAGTCATAGTGACACGAGGTTGACACAGGAGTCGCTGGACATCAAGCAGGACTGCCGACGGTTGTAATGTTGTTGGAGCATTTGCTATAGCAAGCTGATGCCAAATGAAGTTGGGGAAACCCCCAAAGACACTTCGACTGCTTGAAACAAGGACGAAGATATTTCCCGCGACAAGCTGTTGGCTGCAATATCGAAGGCGAGGATGCTTCAGATTGATGGTGGTTAGTTGTTCCGGTTGATTCCCAGTGCAGGCACGGTCTGCGACATACATGCCAACCTACCTATTACTAGTTACTGGTGCCGGATAGTATCGTATGATTCCTGGTTCGTGGAATGCTGTGGGCTGAACATTACAAGCTTCACCATTCAGCTCATTGCATTGCACAGGTTTGGCCAAGAGCAGGAGGAAATACGCGGCGATCTTTGCTGAGAAGGCTTGCCATGATGAGGGATGGACCGGCGCGCGTGAAAGATCTGAGGCTAGGTGCAAGGACTTGAATGACCTTTATATATAATAGGGAATTTTCAGGAACAAATGCTTCTAGGTTGGAGGCCATCGCTCTTAGGTTGGAGGCCATTGCTATTGGGTTGGAGGCCATCGCTATTGGGTTGGGGGTCATTGCTGTTAGGTTGGAGGATACTAGATTGTAGTTCATCTAATGGGGTTTGACCCTACTTGGCCGGAATTATTTGGAGCTGTTCACTCGTGTGACACACAATATACTGTTGCATACTTTTGCAAAAGACTGCGTTGCGTTCATCAGTAACTCAGACCATCGGTTAGTTTATCTGAACGCTTTAAGCGTATATTTGGCAAATGCACTCAACCTGGATGCAGTCAATGGATCTCAGACCCAGCCGCAGAACAAGAGATTACTCGTGCTGTTCCCTGGTCGAGCGGGGTATACAGTTAACAAATTGCGAGTTGCCCGTGGATTAAATCATGTTGGTGAAGATGTCTAAGACTAATCGGCGCCAATACTAATCAATACTCATCTATATTCCGCTAGTAGGTTGGAGGCCATCTCTACTAGGTTCGAGGCCTTTGCAATTGGGTTAGATGTCCATTCCAGGCTCCTTGCGACTGTGGTCACAGAAGGTGGAGCAGGTCGTGGTTTCAAGAGTGCCCGGGTTGCAGCTTCTGAGCAGCTGTTTGCATTGTTTCCCGCACACACACACTCCAGGGGCCAGTAGATACATTTTGGTGGCGCAATGTTTTCAAGGTCGCCTGTCCGACTGATCATGCGAGAGATATTCTATTAGAGTAGAGTTGGAACATTCCATTACTATGGGGCAGGTTGAGACTAATAATATCATTAATTATCCAATGATATTCAATGCTTTTCAACCCACTTGGTCCTCAAAACCAAACCTTGGCGACTCACTCATTTCGGCTTGGATGAAAGACTTGGTGTTCATTTCAATTGCTGATATGATGAGGATTACGTTTTAAACGCCAGGTCACAACATCAGATCTCCTCAATTTCACTTGAGCCATAAGCGGTTGGGTACTTCTACCCCACGGGATTGGGCACATCCGCAACAGCAACAAACAGGAAACATTTTGGTGCAGCAGAGCCTTGCTCATAAAGAAACCTGAGTATTGAGACATCCAGCTGAGGTTCCGGCATCACGTACAAGGAGTATGTGCTTCTTGGTGGAAATCTAGACACAGCTGCCAAAGAAAGAGGGGGTTGTTCTTGATTGTGAGATGTCGAAAACCGCCAAGGCAACACTACTTGTCATGGACATTCATGGACATAAAAAGTCATGCACGTTCACGAATCCTGCTTGAGGCTTGTTCGGATTTGAATACCATAACATAAGATGATTATAGATTATTAATATTTGGCATCACTTTGCATGCCCAAAACGAGCAACACATAGGAGTAAAAGAACCGCAATCACGAAACAGGTTTCAGGCCAAACAAAAACAATAGCAGAAGCTCCATTGGCTTCAGTAAGGAAGACCCTCTCAAAGGTGGAGCACGAGCTTGTGGAGGCAGCAGTTGAACTCGATTCGACGACAAATCATGAAGCGAGATAGCACCACTTTAACGAGCACATAGACTAGTAGAGTTTGTAACATTGTAAAGCTCTCTATCTATCTATCTATCTATCTATCTATGATATGTACGTATTCCGTATAGCGTGAATGTGTTTTTCCCAATCCCAGGTTCACTTCAAAGGTACCTTGTCCGGCGAAACCCAACAAGTGTGCATGCCATATCAACCGGTGATGGCTGCTGAATGACAAGGTCACATTCATCGGCGGCTTAAACACTCACTACCGTTAATTTATCGTTCGCTTCATGAAGTAGAGAGGTTGTTGTATGTTTGCTGGATCTGAGAGCTAGGATGAGCTATGCAAGTCCTACAGTTGATCGCAAAAGAGAAGTTCAATTACTCAAGAGAGCTTGTAATCTGAAAGCCCCAAATGGGGTCTTGGTAGAAAAGGCCGTGTTGAAGGCTTTTGGAGCGGAGCAATCTTTTCTTTTGGGTGTTCCCTGCTCGAAATCATGCCCGAGCTCTCAGTTAGTTGCTGGACAGGGCAAAGACTACGACAAAGAGATCAATCAACAATACCTCTCAGGCGAGAAAATATGTCATCACGTTTGGATGTGTGAGTTTGAGCCTTGCCAGTAAAGTCACTTCATGAAGTGGGGACCATGGACCGGCAAAAAGGTATGCAGGCAGGTGCCCGTTAGCAATGTATGGTGAAAGCATTTCACTGAAGGGCAAAGGCAAAGATAAATGCTGCCAATACCGCAGACAAGAGGCTCAGAGGCATTTTGCTTTTTGGAATCCAGGCCCCGGGACCAGGGACGGCATTTGATCGCCCATACTGGGTTGTGCCCCAAGTATTTTGGAGCTTCGCAGAATAGACTGCAATATGTTATATAGTTTTTCTGGTGTTTTTTTTCCGTGTGTTTTAATTTGAGCATATTTGAGCATCGAAACAGGCTTGAATGATCATGATTGAGTGACAGATTCTACCTGAATCCCGCCGTTGTGATCCGGTGTGTAATGATTTGTTTGCGCTGTTCACCGATTGCACTTTTTAGGCAAAGTCTCTCTCAAAACCTCCTCATACATCTTTTCCATCCTTTTCCTTTTCCGCACCTTTGCCTCATAGTCAAGGGACATGGTTTTTGCCGCCAGGACCTCACACCTGATTCGTTGAGGGCCCTTTTTGTCACAGCAGCTGCAAAGGGGGTGTATGTGTTGATTTTATTGACTTTCAATTCTATGACATTGCAATTGTAGCTTGGAGCTTCCATGAGACATGAACATTTTTCTGTAGGATGAAGCTCTAAAGAAGCTCAAGACGCATCTGCAGGTGGATACTGCCCTGTCACTACGTGATTTAAGCTGATCTAGACAAACTGCAGCGTATATAGATAGATGTGTATATATATATACAGAACATAACTAGGTTTGGTGGTCAAACTACCTCAACTCACGAACGAGGCCTGGTCCTGCTTGGAGGTTGTGGGTTTGCTTAACTCACCCACATGTCAGAGTCTCGCGCAAGTTCGGCGATTGTCCAAAAAGTGTTCGGGCGGATGGTTTGTCGACGTCAAGCTGAGACTTAAGCAGCCAAACAAGCCTTCGTGCTTTTGTGGGAAGTACAGCAGCAGTATGGAGCAGAAGTAACAGTTATAGCAAGAGAGAAACGTAGTGAATTTGGAAGGCATTAAATCATCAATTATCTCTAAGTGCAGGTGGACTGATGGTTGTTGTTGTTGCGATCGTTTATGGCCAGTGTCACTGTCACGGCAACAAGCAACCACGCAAGCAGACTCGAGGACTGTTGATCAGTCCTCGAATGGTAAGGTGCAGCTCTCGTTCAAGACCCAGAGCAAGCAGGGGAACTCAAGGACTCAAGGACTGAAGGTATTGTTCTTGGAAGGTCAGTGACGGTCAGTGTATGTACTTGCACCTTGTGTTCCAGGTCATGAGTCCAAAAGGAGGACCCTGGTGTTCCACAATGGCTGACTTTGGCATAGCCTTGTCTGCTGACCACAGGAATTCACCAACACATCCAGCACATTTGTTCAGACCCTGGACGCCAATAGAGTAGACATTATTTGCACTGTGATGAAAGGTGCCAACAACAAGCAAACACGCAGTTCATTACATGTATCAGCCATTATCAGACCAAGTTGTTTGGAGACAGTTTCAAGTTCTAGCTCTTTGTATAGTGATCCATAGATTGGCTTGCTGTCATGTGTCAGCTGTACAGTGCAATATGTGTGTTGGATTGAAGTATCAAATCTAGAGCGCTTCCCAAAATGTGTGCTTGATGAGTCAGACGTAGTCCGACTGCTCTGAAGCATAAGATCCGAAGTCCAAAGTGTGTGATGGCCAATTGCAATTCCATGCTCCCGCCCGCTCAGGGAACATTGGCGCATGTCGGTCTCCAAGGACCTGAGTGAGAGTAGAAGAAGAGGCTGTGTTGCATGTATGCACAACATGTACCACACCCTAGCAATGGGTTTATTTTCTCCAGTGCGCATGCATGATGAGATGTGATATTGATTGGGTTGCACTTGTACACTGTGCTGTTTTGGTGAGCCCAGTGACCCCTATGCAGAATGATGCAAACCTGTAATGATCACTTTGGCTTGCTGGTTGGAGCACAGCTCATCGAAGTGCAACTCTACCGGCAGCATTTTTTGTGGCGAGGAGACCACTATGTCCATGCCTCATCTCATGATGACGCTGGCTTTGCGCGCCGATTGCCCTATGCTGCGGCGTTGGCGTTCCAGATGCACACAATGGCAGGAGCAGGCCGTATGCTGGTAGGGAAGAGGATTTATGTCTAAGTCTAAATGTACTAGGGCCTAGGGAATCCAGAGGTGCCCTGAGAGGGTTTAGTGGCGAAGTGGAGACTACAGAGACGACAATGCCAGCGAACATCATTGTCTATAGGCCGTCTTCCGATCATTTTTGATGTGAAACTGGGCGAGACTTTCGAGCCCATGGGTTATCTGCTTGACCGCAGGGTTTGGACATGGAGACTTGGAGTGGTTCTTGGTGTCCCTTTGTTGCTGTGCACTTGCGTAAAGATGACATCACGAACATGAGAATAGCTGGGCTACAATCAATATATGCACCCGTGGTGCCTGTTATTCAAACGGCCGACAGGACAGGAGTCAGATGTTTCAGATTGCAACCTCCAGACCGTCAGCGGAGTGGAAATGTTCCTCTCACCTCTAGAAGATGTGCAACTAATTCATTAAACCGATATATCGACTGACAAGATTTAATAAAGCCTATTATCATATGCCTTGTTAGGGCCTTGTTCCAGGATTCCTGCTGTCGCAGCTTGAATTTGGCATGGTGCGAAACCGCGGAACATCTGGAATGTGCGTTGATTTGTGTTCTTTTTTGGAGTTTTGAATGGGCATTGCACTAACTGGCTTTGTTAAGCTAGGGCTATGTTTTCGGTGCGCAAGGTGGGTTCGGGAACTTTGCCAAGAGCGTGGAAGGTTGGTTTGCGCTCTTTTGCACAGGCGCAGTGATGCAGCTTGCTCATGCGCAAGCTCAGAATCAATTGTTTGTTCATGCAAACAATGCATGCTGTAACTGCCTAGTTTCCTGAACATGCTCCGCAGATGGTTTCCGAATTTATATATATACATTATAACACGAATTTGAAGAAATTGACTGTACAGTCCGTTGTTTCTCACGTCCCCATTCTGCATGGGCTGGCAAAGGGAGAACAGATGCCTCGCCACAGGAAGAGTCCCCAGCTGGTTGCCGTGAGGAGGTTTGGCAAGGGCGTGTTAGCTTTGTTCAGCGACTCCTATGTGAGCACTCTGTATTATATAGTAAATGTATATATATGATTATATGTTTTTGTTGCTATTCAACTGAGTCTAGTCTAGTGGCCTTTACCCTGAAATCACGAGCTTGCAGCTGGCAAGTGATAGCAACCCAAATTGAAAAAGATATTTACTTGGTGTGATGAAAGGCATAGAATTTAGAACACTATATGTGCTGGTCCATGCAACTTGCTTTCATATGACGTGTTTTTTCTTTACAAATCCATAATGCTGTAGAGTGTCCTTCAGACTTGCGGAATCATTAAACCAATATAATGTATATAAGGAAATTTATTGTCATTTTGGGCCTTGCCTCATTGAGGATCCTTGTTGGTCCTATTCTGAAGCACCGGCCGGTATTGGAATTTATCAGGTCTTATCAGGCATCCAGCAAACTCAGTGGTGTTTGGTGAAAAGCTGCATGGTGCCTTGATATTTAACAGTTCATAAGAATTCAATGTGTACATTCCTGAATCACTTGAATCAGTGGATTTGTTTACCTGACTTATTTGTTCCATTGCTTGACGCCTTGGAAACAATGCATTTGACCCCCTTTTGTAGTCACGAGTCGTGGCCGTGATTACCCTCACGGAGCTGCCTATGTGAGTCCGGCCCGGAGGACCTGCCTGACAATGAAGAGACCTGTCGCTTGTTGCTTGCTCATGGAAGAGGGTCTTTAGCCTCCAGAATCCCACGATGTTTCCGACAAGTTTCTTTTCTATTTTGTTTGGACTATATAAACGACAATGAGTGCATACATCTTTGGTCGGCCTACTGGTGTTGCTTTGCCTTAGGTAGCAGGTCCTCAGAGAATTGTCCCGTCCGAGCTTGGCAGATCTGCTCCCGCTTACTAAGAAAGCATGCTATTGAAGTTTCACAAGTGATACAGGCGACTGCCCTTGCAATGAGGTTCCGTCGTGCGATGGCCTGCCTTTGGCCCTTGCCGCTGCTGGATTTGAATGCACCTGCCTTGGGCTTCAAGCTACATTGATGGTGCACATGCTTTGTACATGGCAAATTCTCAGAACCGAGTCTTTCGAAGAGTTCTCAAGCGATTTCCAGCCGAAGTCAACTCAGCTTTCGTGGTCTTGAGACACACCTGAACCCATCGACATTCTTTGCTTTGATGCATCACAAACACATTTGACTACGCTGTTTCATCTCTCCCGAGAAGGTGGTTTCTGCGTTATGCAAAGATGTTACATAAGTTTAGGTGCCGTGTATTTACTGTACCTATGCTTGCTACATACACATGCTTTTCATGTGCTTTCCTTTTGACTCCTGTGGAGCAAGCCCCAGTCATTTTGCCCGGTTCCTGTGTGAGCCCCTGCCCAACACTCAGGAAAGTGAGGCGATCACAAGAAGAAGTGGAAGAAGTGCATTCATGCGATGGATGCTGCTCCTTGTCGGGGACTGGCTGACGGACGGATTCGGAATGAGCGCTGTTTGTCATGATCTCGCCACCAGGTTTAATCTTTTGAAAACCTTCCAGGTAGGCATGAAATGGCATGAAGGTTTTTGACCTAAGCGTATGTGTGATTGCTCTACTGTATATTGCTCTTTGAAGCCTGGCACAACACAGTCAGTTGAAATCTCCACCGTGGTAGGGAAATCCAGATTTATTCTCAACTCCAATGTATAGATTTTGGTGAGGGAATATGAGGTCCCAGAAGCACCGAATCTGGTTCAAGGAGTTGCCAACAGCTGCAGATGAGAGTCCAGATAATTCACCGCCCAGTGAACCAAGGACGAACAAGCTGTTCAACAACATTTTTTGCTTTTCTGAGAAGATGAGCAACTCAGTTGGAGAACCAACCGGTGAGCCCCTCCTTGAGGGTGAGATGTCTGACTAGAATTCCTTTGACCTGCTTGCAAGCTTGACACCACACTACGTTGTTTAGTACTTGACATGAGTGGTAGGAAGAGGTGGCCGAGCACTGAATTCTGTTCTTGGGCAATTGCTTTGTTTGATTTATTTGATTTGATCTACTGTAAGTGTTTTATTTCATATTGGATCTTTGCACTGGAGGATGTAGTCCGGATGCGTTTGATCGGAGATTCTTTGGACCTTGATCCTTCGTTTCATGGAGCTCAGGGATCCATAATCCAACAAGGATACCTGGTGCTTTCTCTTGTGTGGTAGATGTGGTATGGTTTCTAGTGGCGTTGCCGACTAACAGTTGCAGGGACTTGCGCTGCACCCTCCTGCGTCTTCAGCCAAGGTGAGGCTCAGATGGAGAGCAAGTTCCAGGGTTGGAAGACAGCTGAGGTCGGGATTTCCACAAGAACTATTTTGTAGCTTTTCACGGCTTCTGAGTTTGGCCTGCGGCAAGCAGTAAGAGCCATTCAATGGCTTGCAGTTGCATGGATTCTTAGAATCCTCATTTGTTTTCGACTAAGGAAAAGCCAGGACTTGAACTATGTTGGTAGGCAAAGCTATTTGCCGTGGGGCCTTGCGTCACGAGGTTGTACCTCACATCATGAGCCTGGCCCTGGCAGTGGATGGAAGGCCCTCTGAAAGCGAGCCGGTGACGATAAGCCGCAGAAAATCAGAGTTCACAGAGCATGTGGTTGAATGGACTGCAACCTAAGAGCGATGGCCTCCAACCTATATAATATGCGGTTGAGTAGACCTGATTTTTGGATATGGTTGGCCCCAAACTGAGTTGCGACAGATCGAGAGAAGATCTGCATGGAATAAGGTCCCCTTGGAAGCAGGTCAGCATGAACAGCAGAGATGAGCTGACTGTATACCGAGATGTGGTCAGCCGAAGTTGAAAGAGATGACAATCAAGGGTTTTTGGAGTAGACAGAGTAGACACAGGTCGTGCCTCATGCCTTTGAAGGAATCAAATGAATCAATTTGCAACTTGTACTCCTTGTAGAGCAGTTTGTGAAAGTTTCACAAAATACCCGAGTCGTTTGGGTTCTGGCACAATCAACTCTATCAATCAGCACGGTAACGAGAGAGCTTTGCTCTACTTTGTTCTCCTGCGTTCTCCGGTGTATACAATTGACCTCAAATGATTGAACAGGTGTCCTTTAGTCGTGTTGCCAGATTTTTATATAAGTCCGCTTCAGGTGAGCACGGACCAGAAGGTGCTTAGAATTGCTTCTGCGCATGTTTGATATTGTATCAGGAGGCTGTATCCATTTGTATCCGGAATTCCTATGAATGCGATTTTGGCTCATTTGCAAGATCGCCTCGATCGCCCTTCCCTAATTCTGGCCAGTTCACATGTTCTATCATGTTGGTGGTTAGTGGGTTGCTTCCCTGCAAATCTTGCAGCACGTTCACTGCCAGAATCGACTTTGCAGCCAGGTTGGAATGGAATGACATGTGGCAGGTGGGATCCGACGCTCCAAACTTTTCTCAAAAGCGCGACAGGTGTTTGGAATTGATAGAATGGTTTAAGCATGTTGAGCATTTGGAGCTGGGCCAGTTCAGACTTGGCCATCTGTCACCAAGTTTAAAACATATCAGAAGGCAGTGCAGGTTGCACCCTGTATCTGAGGGTGTTCTGGAACTTGTTGGGAGAATCTTGGTATGACACTTGTGACGCGAATACATAAGTGCATCAGTTTAGGCCGCAGGACGTTCTATTTCAGTTTGTTTCACTGCTAAGACAACTCTAAGGGAAGGTGGAGAAACTGCTGGCCACTTGACCACGTCCGAACCGCCATGCCCAGCACCTGGTTTCCAGGCTGCTATTGAGCAGCTGGACCAACAGCTTTTTTGGTCCACAGATCAGCAAGTGGACCAGCAGCTGCCGCAGGCAACTCCGTCCGTGCAGGAGGATTGGACACAACTCCGCATTGTAATGCATCGTATGATCTTGATTCACACAGCACTTGAATATTCTGCTTGCTTGAGGGGATTGAATGCTGCCTTATTGGCTGGTTAACACGAGTGTGTGAAGATTACTTTTGATCTCCATATTAAAATGTTTGAACAAAGCGAGCATTCAACATCAGCTCAACATGTGTAGCATTCATGACTAGTCATGACAGTATTTAACACCTGTTGCTTGGAGGCTCGAGGGTAGGTGATCTTCAGCTTGGAAAGGAGATGGATGGGGGCACTTGTGCCCCAGATCCGGAGGAGGCGGCCAGCCTCCTTTCACTCCTGTCCGAGCTAGGCCTAGTGGGCGGCATGCTTGCGGTAAGCCATGGAACAGAGCATGTTCTGGCGAGGCAGCTTGCGGAACGCCTGGGCCTCGAAAACAAGCCCTGGCACTTGGAGTTCATCACGGGTCAGGTCCGTGAAGCGGTGCAGATGGCTGATCTGGAAGAAAGACTTGTTGGATCCTCGTCAACAAGGTCGATCCAAAATTTGCTAGATGCCAGGGTAGCCATCGAAAAGGAGAAGGTGAAAACCCTCGAGCCTCCTAGTACCCAAGTGCTCCTACCAGCTGTTCCAAAGAGAGGGACTTTGGGCAGGACAGTTCGGTTGAGGAGTGGACGGGTTGCTTCAGAGGAAGAAGTCAACGACAAGGTGATGGACAAGCTGGTGGATGAACTAGTGCGTTACAAGGCGCCCATCCTGGAAGAGATCCGGAAGGCTATGAACCCCGTGAGAGCCTCCTTGAGGCTCTCATTGGAAAGTACAGGTTTTCGACGGTGAGAAGATACCTGGCCTCCTGGGAGCGCTTCAGAGAATGGGCGGACGCATTGGGTAAGCCTGGACAACGCCCGAACAGTGTGACATTGGTGGACTATATGTACGCCAGAGAGGAAGAGGGCATGGGCGCTTCAATCCCACTGGCGGTGAGCACAGCAGTGGCATGGTTCGAGAAGACCGCAGGCACCCCTGAAGATGAGATGCTGATGAATCAGCAGTTCCCACAACTGGTGATGAAGGAGCTGACACGGAAGCTTGAGATGAAAGCACCACCGGTACGACGGGCGCCCCGTTGGCTAGGGTGTTTCATCGCGCCGATGGAGACCTTGGTGGTGGACAGTGCAGTATCCTTCGATGTGCGGGTCTGCGCGTGGTTCAAGCTCATCAAGATGTGGGCCTCGATGAGGTTCGACGATGCAGCACACCTGAAGACCTCCGAGATTCGCTTCTACGACGGTCAGCTGATTGGGACGATGCATCAATCAAAGACAACAGCGGCTGGAAAGCGCGTGCGAGAGCTCCCAATATACGTTGCTAAAGAAGCGTACGTTGTGCATGAGGACTGGCTGGCAGTTGGCTTTGACCTTGTGAAGCTGCAGATGCCGAGGGATCGCACATACGTTTTCCCGGAGGGCTGTTTTTATGGTACAGCGTACGGTGCGTCGCACGTCACCTATGCCGAAGCAGTTGCAGGTAGCTCCAAGACGCTTGCATTGCTGGAGGGCTACAATGGCCGGCTTATCCCTTCCGGGTGGGAGAGGTTCTGGTCTGAGCACAGTGAGAGGGCAACCCTACCTAGCGGCCTTGCAGCGCTGGGCGTGGACAAGTCGGATCGCGACCTGTTGGGGAGGTGGTGCCCAGAAGGTTCTGACGTATATGTCAGGACCTACAACGCCATTGTCAAGAAGATGCAGAAAAGGATCGTGGTGGTCCTTCGCAGCGAGACAGCCTATGGAGACTTGGATGAGGGCTCCATTCTGCAGGAGTTGAAGGTCTGGCTGCATGAGAAATGGACAGTGCCTGAGGACAAGGCAGATAGTGTAGTTGAAGCCTGGAAGGAAAAGATTGGTGCAAGGGGCATCCGTCCAGCTCCGATACAATTGTCGGATGAGGACACTACGATCTATGATGGATCCCAGAGCGAGAAGGAAGGCAGTGGCACGGCCAACAAAGGTGCAAAGAGAAGGAGAATGTCTGAAGCGCTGGAGGAGGAGAGAGAAGGAGGCTATGTGGTTGTATATAGGCGCGCTGGACGGGGGACGTTGCACCGGCTTGGGGAGAAGGGCTGCTGGATGGCAAGGAAGAGAGCATTCCTGAGGTCCGAGACGCATAAGGATCTCCCGAGCCCGAGGAGTACACACTCCGATGCAAGCTGTGCTGGAGTGGAGGGGACGAACAGCTCAGTGAGTCCACAAGTGATTCACAGGATGAGCTGGGCCTCAGCGACTGAAGAAAAGGTTGCCGGGGCGCGGACGGGAAGTAAGAAAGGTGTGGAACACCCTGGGTCGCACTCAGGGCCGGTGTTGCGCAAGGGCATGCAGGGTTGGCCCAGGTCGCACCTGGGGAGGCACACTGGTAGGGGGTAGAGACATCCCGCCCTGGGCGAGCCGCTCAGGCTGCGGGGCGGAGCACAGCAAGTGCCGGAGCATCACCAGTGGAAGAAGAGGCGGGGTCGCACCTCAGCAGAGAGAGGCACAAGCACATCGCATGTGTTTTGACCGGTGCATAGCATGCACGGTAGGAAAGATTCACTGTCGCATCGCATGTGGACAGACATGTGCATAGCATGCACGGTTGGCACCGCTGTGTCAAGAACAGCATCGCTTGCTGCATGCTCCTTGGTTCAAAAGGAAGGGTGCGGGGCCGTGGGCGTAAAGGCTCACCATGCCGCGGGCGTCTCTCACGGACGATGAGGGGAACAAGGCATTGGAAGCGGCTGGCACAGACATCAAATACTTGTTGTCAAGGCATGAGGTGACCCTTGAGAACCAAAAGTTATTCTACCACCATGGTGTGACGACCCTGGAGAAGCTGTCGAACTTCGCCAAGGACCGTGATGATTTGGCAGTGGTCCTCAAGGATCATTGGGAGTTGGATGCAAGCAGGACGCTTGAGGAGAGAGTTCAGGTGGCAGCGATCACCTGTGCGTTTACCAACGCCAAGACGAGGAGCCAGAGAGCGGCCGAGGTTGATGCGGAGTACGATACACTCCAGTGGTCCAGGCCCGTGGTGGCCGGGGAATGGGCAGCTATGCGCTCGGCTTTGGAGAGGCGCTACGGGCATTTAGATGACAAGATCTACCCCTCCAAGGAATTTGTTGAGAAGAAGTTGGCCGAGGTTGAAAACGGTGAATACCGTGCCGAAGAGCTGACCGAGGTCGTGTCAAAAGAGGAGATTGAGCCCGATTCCGTGGTGCCTATTTGGGACTCCAAGGGCCGATTGGCCATGCGTCGAGGGTCGACGAAAGTGGAGGAACCGACAAACGCTGAAGAACTTCGTCGACGGCTGACAATATGGAAGAACGCAATGGTCATGATTTCGCTGAAGCATTCGAACAGGCATGAGCTTCAAGGCAATTGGGAGGAAGCAGTCGAGCAGTATAAGGACTACCTCCTCGGCGACTTCGTCTACGGCCTGAATGCAAAGGACGCTGAAGGTCAGACTTTTGCATCGCCGCCATGGAAGCTTGTCCTGGCATATGAGCGTGCGATCAGGAAGCAGGCAGTGAGGATCACGAACACGGAGGGCAAGCCACTGACGGTCGCGCTCAAGACGGCCTGGAAGGATGCCACCATCAAGGAGAGGAACTTCACAACGCCCTTGGCTCTATATGCAAAGAGGCCAACACCGCCATGGAGGGAGCAACCGCCAGCGAAGTGGCCATCAACAGAGAAAGGGAGCAAGGGCAAAGAGAAGGGAAAAGCCAAGAAGGGCAAAGGGAAGGGCAGCAATCCACATTGCGCTACCCACACACCAGAGGGGGAGATGATCTGCTTCAGGTACAATACACCTGGGGAGAAATGCAAGAGCAGCAAATGCAAATACAAACATGTCTGCGGGATTTGCTACAGTGATCGTCATCCCCTTTACGAGTGCAATCCAAAGAACCGCAAAGAGGCCGTTCCTCCTGACACAGTCGGGAGCAAGTGAAAGACTTTGAGAGTCTTATACGTGTTCTCTGGCAGGAAGAGACGCAATTCCGTTGCGGGGTTCCTCCGGAGGCTAGCGCAACGACAAGGAGTTCAGGTGGTAATCACAGAACTGGACATCCAGTCCGATCGCAAGTCAGATTTTACACTTCCTACAGTTCAGAAGAAGTGGTTGCAACTGATTGCCAAAGGCATCTTTTATGCAGTCATTGTTACTCCGCCATGTTCCACTTTCTCGCGAGCTGTTTGGGCTAATGATTTGGGGCCTTTCCCTTTGAGGAGCTCGACTTTTCCGAGAGGTTTCCCGTGGAACAAAGGAGACAGATTTCACAAGGCAGAATTTGGGACGGTTCTTGCAGATTTTTCATTTGAAGCATTGAAGCGTCAATTTGCATGCAAACGTACAGTTGGACTCATGGAGCAGCCAGAGGATTTGGGCAGAACTAGGCACAACAGGTTGACAGGGCATCAGCCAGCGTCGATGTGGCAGTTTTGGCAATTTGAGGAGTTGTTGACATTGGACGAGGTGCAGACAGTGGTCTTCGCTCAATCGGAGTTTGGGACAAGCTCCCCTAAACCCACAAGATTTTTGATGCGGATCTTTACACCACTTCACCCGGCAATGTATGAACTTGATTGGCAAGGAGAATGGCGTGTTTAAGACAGCGCACTCAGCAGCCTGGCCGCCAGCCCTCTGCAAGTGGACCGCTGAAGCGATCCTCACCTCCTTCTTACAAGAGTGTATGGGGGGGGGTGAACCTTGCAGTGGCATAGAGGACAAGAAGAGGAGGCCAGATGAAGGGGTCCAAGAGGCAGCCAAGAAACGGCAGAAGGTCCAGCACGAGAAGGAGATGAAGTTGGAGGTTGACCCCATGAATCCGATCTTTCCTGGAGGAAGAGGGCCCCCCCGCTCTTGCAGATGGAAGGGCTTGGAGGCACCATATCATGACGGAGGAGGGCTTGCCTCCCCAGGGAGGTGGACACCTGGCACGAGGAAGATCTTGCAAGAAGAGGCGTGGGCAAAACTGAGACAGCAATTGCAACAGGAGGCGGTGACGAAGCTGGGCAGTTTGACAGAGCTTGAGAAGGAGGCTTTTCGGATGGCAAAAGGCGGAGATGCCTTCAGCCTGGTGAAGGATGAGGAGTTCTTGGGGAAGGTCAGGGCCCTTTTGTCCGAAAACCTTGGAGTGGAGGTGCAGGAAAGCCCGGAGGAGGGGCAACCATTCTACCTGGGTCTCATGAAGGATGTCTTGGAGAAGGCAGGAGACCCAGATGGGGGCTTCCTAGAGCAGGCGAAGACAGGTCTACCGCTGGGAGTCTTGAATGAGCTTCCTGGGACGCCAGAGATTTTCGAGGAACAACTTCGGTGGAACCTGGAGAGTGAGGATTGGAGTGGCTCCGTCTGGCAGAAGGAGAACTACATGTCAGCGGCTGAACACGAAAAGTACCTCACTGAGCACTTGGATCAGGAGGTAGCAGAAGGGTTGATGGTCAAGATGGAGGAGGAAGACTTCATACAGACTTTTGGTGAGAACCGTGCAGTTGCAGCGCTAGCAGTTCTGGTGGAGGATGAGGTGACCGGGAAGAAGCGGGTGATCCATGACGGCACTCACGGAGTCATGGTGAATCACCGGATCAGGTGCCGTGATAAGGTGAGGATGCCTGGGCCGCGTGAGAAGAGGGCCCTCTTAGAAGAATATGAGGCCGGGAAGCAGTTCGGGTCACTGAAGAGCTTGCCCCTTGGTTGTTTTCTCGTGGGAAGAATCCATTTTGGGTCATTGCTGCACTTGAATTGCTTGCTACCCTCCTCGCCCTCAAGCTCTGGTTGAGGGGTGCTGGAGACTCAGCAGAGATTTGCGCAGAAGCTTTTACAGATAATAGAGGCAATGCATTCATTTTGCGCAAAGGACTTTCGACGAAGTACCCTGTTACATTGTTGGTGATTGAGATTGCTGAGACGCTCCGGAGATATGACTCCTTTGCGACCTTGACCTGGGTACGCAGGGACGGGAACGAGCTGGCAGATGCTTTGAGGAACGAGGATTTCAGTTCGTTTGAGCTCCAGCGGAGGGAAGCCATTGGGGAGGAACATTTCCAGTGGTTTGTGATGGATGAGCTTCTGAAGGGGAGCAAGGAGCTTTTTGAAGAGATCAAAGAGCACAAGGCTAGAAAGAAAGAGTCCAAGACCGCCTTGAGGACAGGGAAGGCGAAGTCAAAGAAATTCTTTGGCAGATGGAACTCCTAACTGAAGTTGGGAAGTCTGTGCCAGGGAAGCTCCCTGGCACAGCCGGTAGGAGGTCCATCCGACACTGTCAAAACAAGTGCGTGTTTTGCGGCTTTCTCCGGGGTTTGTGAATTCCAAGCTTTTGTGTTGAATACAAAGGGGTCACTGTAGGAGATGCAGCAGACACGGTCGTCGCTCCGGCTTCCCTGTCCTAGTGATAGTGCAGCTCTAGGAACTGCTCCAGGTATGGTAGTCATCGATGTTCCCTGCACATTGCTCACAACCACCTCAGGCTTGCGATTGTAGTACCTCTTTGAGGACCATTTGAGGGCTGACTTTATGTACATTTACGCAGTTGGTTGACAGTAAGTTCATGTAGGTTCCATGTAGCATCGTGGCCGGTGCTTTGCTTTGTTTGCCATTTGCTCGGCCCAGTTTGCAAGTTTGTGAGGTTTTATCTCTGTGTGGGTTGAGGATGTTGGCGACTCTTAGCTTTAGATGCCAGGTGCTTTTCCACCCGTTGGTGATCAATGGAGCCATTGTGCCTCTTGGATCTTGACAAATCTCGACGATACTTCTCCTTGGGCGCTCGTTTTGGTTGGCTAAGCTTTCACTTGACTGATCACTTGTGGTCTTTCCCGGTAAAATAGATTAAACACCTTTCGGGAAGCCCGGTGGTGATCTATTGGGATCCGATCACTTCTAGCCAGTGCCTGGTCACACCAATTGCCGAGACATGCCTGGGCACATGCCGCATGCCCTAATTTCGGAAAGCATCCAGTCCTGAGAGCGAGTTGTGGCTTGCGCAGACTCAGACGCGGCACAAAAGATGCAACTTAAGAATGGAAGTCCATGTGGCCGTGGGCGTGGGGATATCTTTTTCAGTTCGTCGTTTTAGGCCTTCATTTTTCTTTGTTGGCTCCCAACTCTCCCAAGTGAATGAGGTCAGCACGGTGCCTGCAACTTAGGCAAATGCTATGGGAGCAGCCCTCCACTGTGTCTCGGTTTGCGAAGCATACTGACATACTGGGAGTTTTGATGACCCTGATGTATTTCATCATGTGTCCTGCTCACTCACAAAAAATGATATGATATATATATAATATTGCATAATATATTGCCATTTTCTCACATACACGGGCAAGAAGGGTAAGACCTGGGCTGTGCTTTGTTTGTGTGTTTTCCATCCAGCCGTGAGAATGTTTATCTCTCCCTACTTGAAAGTGAAGTGGCTCTCCTTGATTTCATCCACAGGCCATGTCGGCCTACGGGAAGATGGCACAGTTCAAAGTGGAAGATCTCCAGGCGGATGGACTTGGTACGTGCAGTTTAGATGAGAAAGTCTTGGAGTTGGACTTCTGAAGCTCCTGAGGTGGTTTGCAGGACTCAGGAAGAATACCTTCCCATTACCCTAGATCCACATCCCAGCATGGAGGACAGTGATTTTCTCATCACCCTGTGGTGGGTGTGGAAGGAGGGTAGTCCCAGACAAAGATGATGTGAAGTTTGGGATGAAACCAACTGTTGGTTTCCACATCTTGCAGATGATAGAACAATGTTGAACTCAGGACATGAGCCATGTTTCAGCTATTTTTGGACCTCCGCAAGCTGTACTGTGTGGAATATAGAAAAAGATCAGAAGAGATCCAACATGTTCAGAGTTGTCAACCAATGTCAACCATGAGGCCGAGGATCTAGCTAGTCGTGAGACGCAGAAGCATTCCAGAAACAGTGGAAAACTTGTTCAACTGGCAACTGGGCTATCGAATGCTGGTCTTCTGATTCGGCAGCTGCCAGGACATCCCTGGCCACCACATGGGAGACCATTTCAGCAGTGGAGCTGGTGAGGCAGGTGTGGATCACTGTGCAAGAACTTCCTTGGCGGTTGTTTCAATTAGGAACAAGTGCATCGCTTCTAGTAACAAGTGCCTTGCTAGTAGTAACAAGTGCCTTACTAGTAGTAACAAAGACGCTACTAGCTGCCTAGCTCAGCTTGGCCGTCACAGGCCCGTGCGCAGCTTTTTCTGGAGATGGCCAGCGCAAGGGATGCCTTGCACAAGGAGGCCCCCAGCGCTGTGGACTTTGGTTCCATACCTGAAGTGTTTGGTTTCTTTGCAGTTTCGGCCAAAACACAAGTCTTGCATCTCTGTCGCAAAGCAAACCACACGATCCAGAACAGGCCAACAATCATGGAAGGCCTCCGCCAGAGGAGCTTGTGCACTGTTTTAGCATCCCTTTAGTCGAGCAGTTTCCATGTTTGCATCAAGGGAAGTAGATGACCACTAGGAACAATAAGCTACTAGGGGCTCCTGGCATGACTACTAGGAGCAAGGACGCTACTAGGGGCTCCTGGCATCGCTACTAGGAACAAGAAGCTACCCCATGGTTGCACCCCATGGTTGGCCACCTGAAGACACGAGTCGTGGCAGGTGGAAGACGTCACCAAACGACAGACAGCTGGGGCACCTTGAGAATGTGAGATGGTGCCCCATTCACCCACAGGATCCCAGTCGTTTGCCAGAGGGCTGTCATCTCTTTCCAGAACGTGTAGGAACGCAGTCAATGAACTGACTGTTTGTGCTTGAGACATTGAGACCCCTTGCAACGGCACTCACAACACGTAGCCGCTGGGAGGTCAAGCATCCAGCATTTAGTGTCATGGAAACGCGAGAAGCTGCACTTTCTCCTGAGCCATTGGCTTTAGCGGCTTTACGTTCATCGGAGACTATGGCCCCAGCCCTGTCATTCCACGACTTGCTCCTTGCAGAAGCCGGGTTTTTGGATACAAATAAGACAATGGATTCAATCGGTCGAGCTTGCGAGTGATATGCATTGGTTCTGAATCTGAGCGTTCTACGTGTTTGGCACTTGACCAAGCTACCTTACCGATTTTTAGCAGCAGCTTCGACCTGCTAGGACGAGGAAAAGTGATGAAAAGGGAAGAATAGATCAATAGATTGTTGCAGCCAAGAAATATACTTGAGATCACCCGAGTGCTTCGGCTACGAGCCATGCGCTTGGCTCCAGTATGGCTCCTAGCCGCAGAGGCCAGGAGTGAACATTGAGCATTGAAACGGCCAAACGTTTAGAGCACACTTCTACAATCGCATTGCCTGCAAACTGGCAAGTGGGGGTCCCCAGAACTGCACCTGAGCTGTTGCTTCCCAGGTTGGTGGCAACTTCATGGCCTCTTTGCATTCCAACTATGTGACTTGTCTGAAACCAACTGAGATGCTAGGGGCTTGACCAGCCAGCTGAAGCCAATGGCCACCTTGTTTCTATGGAAATGTCATGTCAAAGCCCTTCCATTGTTGTACATAGGCTACATACGTGCTTGAGTGTTGCTCAGCTCCGAATCCTTGTCCCGAATGAAGGTAAGGCAAGCTAAGAGTCTAGATGAGTCTAATTATTCTTCTTTGCAGAACTGACTCCCATCGCTTAGGTTGGAGGCCATCGCCATCGCTATTAGGTTGGAGGCATCGGTATTAGGTTGGAGGCAATCGCTAGTAGGGTGACCAGGGTGGAGGCCATCGCTAATTGCTATTATATAGGTTCGACTCCATTCTTCTTTGCAGAGCCGACTCCATCATGCGTTCCAGGTGGTGCACCTGGATTTCGATTCTTCAGAGCTCGTGGGCGAGGAGTGTTAATTGGTGATCCTGGGCCGAGTAAGTTGAATCAAAGCCACGCCTTACAGGGACACAGACCTTGTGAAACCATGTCAAAACCAGACTTTTTGACAGAGCGCCAAGCAGGAATCTTTTGGTTCTTCATTTCAATTTGGGCTCTTTTTGGAAGTCTCTTTGCAGGATGTCAAGACCGTGAACCTCGCCAAAGGGCAAAGGAAGTTCCGCTGTCGGCTTCCAGGTGGGAGCACTGGTGGATCTCAGGTCGACTAGCTGAGTGAATCGAAAGAATTACCTTCAAGGAAGAAGGAAGCATTTCATTGGATTTCATTGCTTTTGGGTAATTCTTGTAAGGGATATGCAATGCATTGAAAGGGATTTCAGGGAATGCGGAAAGTCCAATTCACTGATAAATAATTACGATATTGTACAAGAGCATGATTCCTGCCTCTCGCTTCCTGTGGCAACCCGCCGACACAATGGCACAGCACAGCTGTATGGCGAGGCGCCAAAAACTCCAGCGAGCAGGAAGATACACCAGATCCTTGGACTGAGCAGGTGGATGGAGGGAGTCGCATATTTGGCCAACTTATGTTGCCAGGAGTGTCTAAGGAGTAATGAAGTAGACTGAGACTTCCTAAACAAGCCTTGGTATATATAAATACAAATAAATAAATATATATATATATAGTTATGCATGTCGTGAGTGAAACAACCATATATGATAATATATATATATATATGCTGTTGGTGAATGGGATGTTGCCTGTTGGGCCTGACACTCGACTTTGTTCTACTCGTAAGAATTTGCAGCAGCTTCAAAGATTGTTTCCAGATGAAGGGAGTTCCGTCCAAAGAGCGCACGTTCTATGTGTAAGTACTTGGCAAGGAGTCTTTCATTTTTGCTGCTCGAGTACCCAGGATGCCAAGAAAACCTTCTTAGCAGTACCTTGGCAGGGTGTTTGAGCTGGACATGTTTTTCCTTCGGACAACATGCATGCTGTTGGGTGTGTGAAGGGAGGAAAGTCCTGAGTTGCTGCAAGAAGACTATCAAAAAGGAACTTAAATAAATATAGTACTGTAGTATGTTTGTTGTCATTTGTTGCATTATAGTTGTTTAACTTACACAACACCTGGACAGGACAACCTCTTCGGGGCATCTATCAACCGACATGTGTACCTGGCTGAAAGACTGTGTGCTACGCCGGTGGAGCACGAGGTTCCCGCCAAACTGTCGTGCTAGAAACTTGAGTAGCTAGTAGCAAGGACGGTTGCGAAAGCCAGCCTTCGTAGAAGGCGCCAGCTGAGTTGTGTTTGGCGAACGAAGTGAGTAAGTAAGGGGGTCTGGGGGGGTGGCCCGAGAAAGCACTACGTAAACTCGAAATTAGGTGGTGGAGAGGGGTGTGCAGAAGTAAGGTTTTTGAGGTTGTGTTGGAGGTGAGTTTTTGTGATTTTTTTGGGGGTGGTGATGCAAGAAATGCAATTTGCATCATTTGCATCATCTGAATGGTAAGGTGTAGCTGGGGCCTTGCCAGGTATAGATACCCAGGGTAGCTACAATTCAGTTGCCAGGTATGGTACTTCAAGTTCCCTTTCCGTCAACCGCTCGATAACCCTTACACACGCACAGCAATCCACAGCTTTGAAGTCTCCTTCGTGCTTTGAACTTAGTACAGGTGTGTAAGAGGTATAGCAACATAGCATTTATACGGACCCAGGGTGGCTACAATTCTGTTGCCAGGTATCGCACTGTAGCTACCCTGGATCCGTATAAATGCTATGTTGCTATACCTCTTACACACCTATATTAAGTTCAAAGCACGAAGGAGACTTCAAAGCTGTGGATTGCTGTGCGTGTGTAAAGGTTATCGAGCGGTTGACAGGGGTGCACGGAAGCACGCCGTGTGCGATGCTGCATGCTGTCTTGGCCAACAACGTGCTCGTGGACAAAAACGCTGGCTTTCGTTTTGCAGCTTCTCAGGTATTAGGTGGAGGCCATCGCAAGTAGGTTGGAAGCCATCGCTACTAGTAACAAGAAGCTACTAGTAACAAAGGGCATCGCCGAGCTAGGTTAGGTATGGCACCCGACAGTAAACCATGAAGGCAAACCACCGAACCTTCCTCGGTGTTCAAAAACGACTGTATACACTAGAGCCCTCGTGACTCGTGAAGTACATTGAAAAAAATTGTCGCGAAAAGAACACCACCGTACCATAACCTTTTTGAGACACCTTCAGATTCCAGCTCCAAGGCCAAGTTGGCTCCCTATCGGGGGACTTGCTTGAGAAGCACAGTGGATTTCTGGCACTACGATCTTTGCTCTGGCAGCCGTGTGGTTCCTTTGGCCATCAGATCAATATGAGACTGCTCTGTCATGTTTAATCAACCAGGTAGCGGGTGGAGTTTCATTGCAATTGCAAGTGCTTTAGGACAGGGTGTGGCCAAGCACTCGGGGATGCATTACCAGTGTTTGACGTTCTTGCGTCAGAACAGGTTTTTTTCAGTTTTGAGGTGCATCCTACTCACAAAGTCGTATCACATAATTTCAGATAGACCAGGATCCTTCCCATGACCGGTCAGCAACGTGATTTTCCCCAAATCTTCCCTTGATAAGCCAGGCACAAGACCTTCACCAACACTGCCAAACCATTGTGTTCTATTGGCACCAGATTGGGGGTTGTGCAATCTCCCACCCTTCTCACCCCACCACAAATTCATATGGTGCATATATGCATATAAAAAATAAACCTTATTTGTCAGCCTAAGTACCAAGGTGAGACCACCAAGCTCATAGTTGGCCTTGCTGTCACATGATGTGCTGTCACTCAACAGGCCTTGCTCAACTGGCCCACGAAGCCATCACAGAATGAACCAGTGGTAGAACCCGAGCCCGTTGTTGATTCCTGGAGTGGGACACATCCAAGAGGTCTATTTTGTCTTTGCACAGGAAACACATTTGGTTCACCCCTTTGAACCACCAATGATATCACTTGTTGTGGGTACTGTGGTTTACCTGGGTTTATTCCAATTCGTGATTGTGATATGGTTCAATAATGTTCAACATATTCGGCTCAGGTGCAATACCGCGATGACGTGCCTTGGTATAGCAAGGCCTACCTTGTTAGGTTCGTTCGATCAGGGCCAACAGATCATCCGAGACTGGCAAGAAAGACCGACCGGTTGGATTGTTTTGGAATTGATACCAATTATATAGTTGATCCTTTTGCACATGGATCATGGTTTGGTCATAATTGCCCACTGCAGGCGGCATTTTGCTCTTGGATACCCCGATGACAAGGGTCTGGCTTTTTCGTCAACCGTCCTCCTGCTTGAGTCACTTTGTTCATTTTGGCACCGGCGCAACACTCCGACTCACCAAGCAATCCAAGGAGGGCTTCACATGAAATAAAATGCATGTAATCATGCTATAACTATAACTATAACTAGCAGAGTCATAATGTGGAAAGCTTGATTCTGTGTTCTATTTTTGGTCATTAACTTATTATCACTTGAATGGTAGCAGGGTCTCGAAGAACCAACAAGTGAATAATGTGATGCGGGCTACTGAGGCAGGCTTGCGGTTTTCCCTTGGGGCTCATCAGCCGGAGGGTGACCGGCTGTTGCCTACCGGAGAAGTACGTGTCTGGGCCCATGTTTTAGTGTGTTGTTCACCGCCTCTCGAAATATCATCGTTGGCGGGTTCAGGGATCATTACAGGCATTGTTCTTTTCGGCGAACAAGTGTGTCAAATATTTGTGCTATTGGGATGGTTACATGACATTGTCAGCATTAATAGGAAGGTGTTCTCGGAAGGCGGCATGGATCGTGTG